AAGATCATCTTTACCAGAAAAAGCAAAAGAAGATACTAAGCCCCAGGTAATTTCTCATTGTCTAATGGTAATTAAGACATAAGAATTATAATCCTACCAGTGATGTTTTCTTCCTATTAGTAGTTCTGGTAGTTAATGGCAAAACTCTTTGATTACTGGCTATGATTTGATTTTAAGATTGATTTAGAAACTCTTGAAGCCAAAAAAAATATACTCCCAAACGTATCGGTTCACAGGAATTATTTCCTTTCTCTTAAGACTCTTGAATATCTTCATTTTCTTGGGCTTCCTCTGTTTTTTCCACGCCTGGGTGATCCTGACGCAGGCTCCGTGACTATAGAATACACTGATGGCTTTTGTGGTTTGTATTTCATTCTCGTCACCAGAACTGAATCTAATACCATTGCAGTGTTCTTTGTGCTGTGTTCTTTTTTATATAATTTACACTAGGAAGGGCCAGGCATTAAGCATTGTGACTTAATTGCAAAATGGAAAGATCTATATGTGCTGTCTCAGTGCACATGTATTTAAGGTAATGTAATTACACAGCTACAGGTGTCACAGGGACTTATAGATCTGTCACGTGTATATGCTACCACTGACTAATGTTTTATTGGGGTAAAATACCAAAAAATCAGCTTAGCTATTTGTCCACATTCTGAACTGCTTTTTGGATGATGCTGTAAGGGCTTGAGGTGGATTAAATAGTAAATTTTGGAAAGAAAATAATTATAATTGTAAATCCTAAATACAGATCTGTTCCCTTTTGGAGAGGAGTTGGCTAATCAGCTAGCTTGATGAACTGTAGTGCTGAACAAACAGTAGGTAAAACACAGCAGATTTTTCATAAAATCTGTTTTAGTAATAGGTTTGTTAATGTCTTGCAAAACTTAAATGAAGTTTTTGAAGTTCTTCGTGTTTTGAGATTAAATGGCTTTAAAAAAAACCTTTGTCTCATAACTACTGAAGGACAGATAATAAAATAATTTGAAGGAACAATGGTTTGAAAAACCTCATGGGTGTGTTGTTTTCAATTCTACTGGAGTTGTTTTTTTTGTATGATATTCATAGCAAAACTCCAATACTTTGCTTTTCGTTTTTTTGGGACAGGAAGAAAATGCAGAGAGTGGAGGATGCTCCAGCAAATCAGAGGAAATCACAGAGGACTGTGAATCGGATAATCCTCCTGAGAACACTGCCCCTGTGAAAAAGTCATCTGTCGCTCCCGTAGCGGAGAGCTCAGCTTCAAACAGCGAGAGAGAGCCGACAAGGGATGCAGCTGGAATGATGCCGGAGGAGCCAACGGTTGGGGAGGGATTAGAAAAAAGCTCTGTGGGAACAGCTTCAAAGGAGCCCTTTGCAGGGGGTGAAAACACTTCCAATGTGAGCAGCAGTTCAGCGTCGAGTGATGTCGTTTCTGGAACACCGCAGCCCGTGAGCCGCCGGCAGTCTTTCATTACCTTGGAGAAATTTGATACTTCAGGGAACAGACCCTTCAGCCTTTCAGCATTAAACAGTTTATCAGAGATGTCCGAAACTGCTTCCGCAGCAGGTAAACGGGAAAATACAAACGTATGCAAGACTAGTGCTAGACTGGAAAAATCTGGAGAAGAAAATAAAAAGCCTTCAAAATCTGAGTCTGAACAAATATTTACTGCAATTCGAAGGCTGACTCGCAGGCAGAGTAAAGCGGAGCACCAAGGAAATAAGCAGTCCAAGCCGTTCACCAGGTCAGAACCAGAGAAAAGCGCACAAGAGTTGTCGTCTTCCAGCAGTATGGAAAATAGTTCTGAACTGTCTCCTACAGTGGAAGACAGGGAGCACGTTCTCCTTGCTCAGTCCCAAGCTCTCTCTTCTACAGAAGTAGAAGTTAAACAAGTTGAAGATGCAGCAGCAGACGTAGAAAAGGTCCAGGCATTAGATACGGATTCTAAAGAAAATACACCCCCAGAGACGATTGTATCCTCAGACCAGGTAACAGGTGATGATAGTCAGGTTCCACACGTGTCTTCTAATCAGAAAGTGCTAAGGCGTTCTTCAAGACGACGGTCAGAAACTGTAGAAAGTACAGCAGGCAGTCAAGATAAGGAAGATGGCCACCAGAGGAGAGACAGACGTAAAGACGACGAAAAATCCGGGCAAAAGAAGGGGCTGCCGACCAAAGATGATGTGTCTCAAAAGCAGAAAGCAGTTTCTGGGAAAACTACAGAAAGTACAAATAAAAAGGAAAGCAACCTGCCCGAGAGCTCTGCTGCAGGGGACTTGAGCTCAAAGGAGTCTCCTGCTTCAAGGGGCCTTGATGAGGAGACGAACAGAAGCGCGAGGAGGTCGGAAGAGAACTTGAAGACCGACGTGGAAGGTCAAGACTGTAGCTCAAATACAGTAGGTCAGAAGAAGATTGAACGCCCACGATACCACACAAGAAGAGCTTCCCAAGGCTTGCTTTCCAGCATAGAAAATTCGGAGGCTGATGGCTCTGAGACCAAGGAAGAAAGCACGAGGAAGAAAAAATCTGGAAAAGTGAAAAATAGAAGTGATTCTCTCGAAGGTAAATGGAAAGATCCACAGCCAGGAGGCCGTAGCCATGATGTGTCTTCCCAAGGAAGCGAAACTAAGAATCTGGGGGAAACAAATAAAGGTGAACTGAGCCGTGACGCCAGCACAGATGCTGCACTGACATCTGGAGCAGGTGACCTGAAAACCCAAGAAGTTCCTACAGATGCCAGCAAGGCTGTGGGATCTGCCAGCTCGAAGAGTTCGCCTGATGCACAGAACGCAAGTGCGGAACACAGCAAGGGCAACACCTGGATGGACTCGTTCACCCACCCAGGTGCGTCTGAGCAAGATTTGAAAGCAGCAGAGGAAGATAAACATGTAGAAAAGCAGACAGACGTAGAAGGTGGCTGTCCAGCTGTTCTGCCCGAGTGTGCACCAGGAGAAAACGTGTCAGGTGGTGATCTTTCTTCTCTGCAAGTGTGCGAGTGTCAGCACAGAAGAGGCAAAAGGCTGAAACGACTGAGGAACGGCGGTTGCCGCTGTAAGAGGTCGAAGCAGCAAGTCACGTCGTTCACTGAGTCAAAAAATGAGAATACTCCTGAACTGGATGAGCCCCAGACCACCCCGGGTCAGACCTCTGTTAACACATCAGAGATGTCTGTTAATTCAAACTTTGACGAGAGCTTGTCCATGGCACCCTGCGCAATGAGCACTCCGTCACATCCTTTGAAGGAACCCGGTGCATTCAGCTTGGAAGGAGAGACAACATCTGAAGAGAACCTGCGAGGGAGCAGTGTTGTGGAGGAGGATCTGGAGAATCCAGAGTGTACAGCAGGTGAAATCACTGACTCCGCAGTGGAAACGAAAGAACCTGCTGATGAGAATGACCAAACTGACCGGTGTCTGTCTGAGTGTGTTTCAGATGAGCCTGGAGACAGCTGGCTGGCTGCAGGGAATCAAAGCCAAGACCCAACAGCTACAGAAAAGGAAGAAATAAGTCAGAGTGGACAACTGGAGGAGATACCGAAGGCACTGCTGGTTGTTAGCAAACCTGAGAAAACACAGATGAATGAGCTGGACAGCAATCAGGGTGATAAAGAAGTAGCTGAGAATACTGTAGGAGAAACTTGCTTTATTCCAGATAAAGAGATGAAGGAGGAATTAGTGGAAACTGAAATTATGGTGCCTGAAAACGTAGCCTTAACCAAAGAAGATGCAGTAGACACCAACAGTGTGGATTCCCCTCAAAAACTGGAAGATCGTGATTCCTTAGCCTTGGTTAATGAAAGCCCCAACAGCATGCAGGCACGCTGCACGTGGTCTCCTTCAGCTTCTCCATCCACCAGCATCTTGAAGAGAGGCATAAAAAGAAATCAAGATGACGATTCCCTGTCGCCCGCTAACAAGGTATTGTGATGTGGCTTGTTCCGTGATACTCACGATTCCTTCCGCTCGTAACGGGGACGTGCAGCAGCGTCTGTGGTGTGATGGGTTCCAGATGTGCTGCATCACTGACAGTATTTCTGTGTTGCAAATGAGCTTATGCTGAAGCTGACGACTTCCAGTTTGCTTTTGGAATGTGCAGGCACTGAGGGGCGTGTTACTGGGGCTGGGGAGGGAGCTTTATTTTGGAAACAGCGCCAAAGTCAGGTGTGCTGCCTGGGTCGCCGTGCGACAGGTGTCACCGCACACCCCCGTGTGCGTGGTCAGGGTCTTGCCACTGGGTTTGGAGCAGCTTTTCCCAAAATGCATTTAACATTTCCTTTAGCAGTTTCTGTCCTTGAGGGAAACATCGTCTGTGTCACTCAAGAACTTTAATTGCAAACCGAGCTGTTGGGTCTCCTCCGCCTTGCCGCACCGGAGTGTGGGGGTTGGAGTTCATGCTGTGAAACCTACTTCTCTCTGAACAGATCCGTCGAGTCTCTTTTGCAAATCCAATTTACCAAGAAGGACTGGCAGATGACATCGACAGGAGAAGTCCTGTCATTAGACCCCATTCTTCACCGTCTTCCCGGAGTCTGAAAATTTTGTCTAATATTCAGGCCAAGGTAAGTTCTGACGTGTGTTCCGTACGCCGTAGGTACTCGCGTTCCCCACGCATCGTAGGTAACGTTGCTGTAGAGCACATTCCTAGTCACTTGCAAACAGTTGTAAGAGCAGAGACTCAGTTAAGTGTAGTGAAGTAGTTGTAACTACCAGGTTCCAGATTTAGCCTGTTTCATTCTGTCACTCTCTGAAGACAGTACCTGAGTTCTAGGTAGCTAGAATCTTGTGATTAACCCAATTCCTACAATCCTGAGAGATATTTTTTCCTCTTTTTTTTTTATCCAGCATATTACCACTCCAACCAAAGGATTTCTGTCCCCAGGATCTCGTAACCCTAAATTTAAGAGCTCAAAGAAGTGTTTAGTAAGAAGTGCTTTGGTTCACATATCTCTTCTATTTTTTTCCTGGATTCAGATGTGTGATAGTTAATTGAATAATTTTTCTGTGTTATTCAAGATTACGGAAATGGCCAAGGAATCGCTGCCTCACCCTACGGAATGTGTGTATCCCGCCTTAGTTGGCTGCAAAGCACCGGTCGATGTGATCTTACCTCAGATCACATCAAACATATGGTACGTTGATAGAAACTGAATTCTTACTGAACCAACAAACCCAAGTATTCTGATGCAAAATGTGAGGACTTACAGACAGCTTTTGCCAGATTTTTTTTTTAAAGGAGGGAGGTTGGCTTAGTGTCCTGGTTTCAGCTGGGACACCAGAACCCCTTTAAATCAACCCATCACACTTAGTGGGGGAGAGACTTAACTATTTCGGAATTATTCTTGGAAGACTGTGAAAAGCTTGCACCCAGGAACACAGGGAGCTTTCTCCTTCTCATGTGGCAGAGCAGGCTGATCTTGGTCTATGAGGACGCAGTTGGAGCTTTCTGTGTATTGAAGGTGAAGTGGGATTTTCAGGAAAAATCTGCATTTCGGATGCACAAAGGCTGGGTGCAGCTTGGTTTCCAGTCTGAATTTGATAACTTGTCACAACACACGTGCAGGGGGAACTGCTTGGAATGGCCTTTTCCAGTGTATTCAGCTCCTTTTCCTTCCACTGGTATAATGTAGGAGTGGGCTTTAGAATGCCATTCTCTGGATATAGGATAAACTGCAAGAAGGTGTGCTTCTGCACGGAGAAAACATCGCTTGCATTTGGCTTCATTCCTGTAAGGTTTCTTCCTGCTCCACCGTGCCAGCAGGAAGCATGTGGACTCGGCAGAATAAACTGTTTTCCTTTCTCCCTGCTGCAGCGCCAGAGGTTTGGGGCAGCTCATTCGAGCAAAGAACATTAAGACAGTGGGTGATCTGAGTACTCTGACAGCATCCGAGATCAAAACCCTTCCCATCCGCTCTCCGAAAGTTTCCAACGTTAAAAGAGCTCTTAAGGGATATCATGAGCAACAGGTAAACTTTAATTTTGGTACTCAAAAAGCCAGGGTTGGCCTAATGAGCTGCTAACATCCATCTTGTGGAATAACGTATTCCTCCCTGTTGGAAATAGCACTTCAAAACGTAATCTCTGCCTGTCAAACATGGGAATTCAGGGTGCAGGGGACTTAGTTATTAACTGTAATAATTGTATTTGTTATGACCTTAAAACATGTCCCACTGTGCAATCTTTTTTTTTTTTTCTCTCTCTGACAACACATCTCTCTTCTCTCCCAAAAATTCTTCAGGTAAAATCTCGAGGATTTGAGGAAATAGCAGTGCTTGAAGATGCAGAAAAGCCCGTAAATAATGTGGAGGAGAAACCTCTTTCTGTAGATGAAGAAAAACTTGCCACAGGTACCTCCTGCCTGCTTTTTGCTTGGGATTTGGATGTTTCTGCTGTATTGCTGCTTCCGTTCTCTCCTAATGGGAACACTTGATACTTTTTAATTATTTTTTTTGGTCTGAGAGCATGTTAATAGCCAATATGACACATTAGATGGGCGATTGAGTTAGCTGCTGTATGAAGCCCTGTAGCTGTGGCTTTCTCAAACTTGTTACCTGTTTTGAGGGAAAGGTGCTGGTTTTCCTTGAAGGAGCTTGCGTAAGTGTGCAAAGAACAAGTCGTGCAGGGCTGCAGGTCCTTGGTGTTCCAAATCCCACCTGGCGTGCGTGTCCCGAGCTGTGGAATGCCCCAGTGAGTGCCATGGGTCTGGGCAGGCCCGGAAACGAGCAAAAGGAGGCAGAGCGAGTTAAGCGGTGCCTTGTCCCGAGAGGGCTGGGACAGGAGGGGGGACCATTCTCTGGATAACTGTTTTGGGTGCCTAGATTCTTATTGGAGTTCTCTGGTGCATTTTTGGCACTTGGTCTGGTAGCTCAAACAGAGGAATCCATGTTTGTTCTTCCTACAAGATACTTGAAGCGTACTCAGGAGTACCTTCTCCTCAGCTGTCCAGTTTAAAAGTTGGACTTTCTTGGGATAACACGTCATGCCACAGAACACTGGCAGTATCTGAATAGGATCAAAAGCTTTCTTCTGTCCTAAGTTTGATGGTACAATCATGATTAAATATAACGGAAGTCACCACAAAGAAAAGGGTAGCATGGAGCTGTGAGGGGTGCCTTTGTCAGGAGCTCTCCCGGGTGGAACGCGTGCCTCACAGACTGCTCGAAGATGTAACTTGGTACAAAAGAAGCTGTAACGTTCCCCTGCAACGTGGTTCTGCTTGGATTTAAACCCAGACCACACTGCCCTACTTCCCTTCCTTTTCAGATCTGATGGAACCAGTTGTCTTGAATCCAAACGACCAGCCCACCGCGGACCTTCTGAGCCAAATTGATGCGCTTGCTGCTCAGCTGACTTCAGAAGATCTCCACGGCTATTCGGGAAGCCAGCTTTTTGAGATGCAGGAAAAGCTGGTTGGCATGACAAACTGTATCATGAAAAACCTGCAGTCCCGCTGGAAATCGCCTCCCCATGACAGTTCTGATTAGTTGCTTATGGTTTCAAAGTAAGGAGGATATCGTTACAACAGTTTTTCCCAAAACCTGCTTTTCTTACTGGTGAATTATTCCTTAAACTGGGCATTTTGTACTATAGAAGATTTTTTAACACCTATATGAGCAAAATGTATCATGGCTGGTTTTTTTCATTTGTTTTGTTTTAATTCGTGGGATTGCTTATTCCCCGTTCGAAGTATCGCACTGCTATGCATATTTCTTTCTAAAGAAAACTTGGATGAGGTTGTGCAATAGCAAAGACTGTGAAACCAAACCAACAGAGCAGTTAAATTATTTTTTTGGATCCGAAGTGTTCTTACTGCTGCAAACCCTTACCTTTGGAAAGCGGGGGGTCTCGCAGCGTTGCTCCTCCGCTGCCCCTGTTTGCTTCCTTTTCACTTGCTGAAACTCGGCTCTCCTCTCAGTGCTGGTTCGTGCTGACTCAGCATAAAACTGCTGTAATTCCTTACAGCACCACCAGTCCAGGAACTCGGTGTTTGACAACTGGGTGATATCTATTTTTGTGTGTATTTTTCTAAGAATCCCACTAAGAAGCTGACAATGCAAAGTCCCCTTACAGGCAAAAAAGACTGCAAAATTCCTCAGGCTCCTTCCCGTGTTCTTTGCAGCAGTTCTCCTTCTGTGGAGAAGCCTTTTTCCTTGGGGAAATGAATGGATTGACAAGAGCTCTTTGTATATTATGTACAGACTTATGATGGCAAACATTGGTTAATAATTTATAATTTTGAATATTAATTGCATGGAATGCATTGCTGCTTCTTGGAGATATTCAGAGAGAGTTCTCGGGTTTTACTCTGGAAATGTAATTTGTAAATATTGTACTGTAGCTATCAAAATGGACATTTATTGAAAGGAATTGCTGCAGGTGTTTTTAGAACTTACACATGGGCAAATAAAACAGCAAATAGGTCCCACGCTTGTTAACATTGTTGTGGTTTGGTGGTTTTGAGTTGTTTTCCTTTCAGAGCTATTCAGGCCCCCCCCTCAGCATTGCTTTGGATTCACAGGGTTTGGAGGGAACTTGGAAAGTCATCACTGCTGCCTTAAGGTAGGAGTAGCTCCTCAAGGAAGTGGTAGTATCTTACCAGTGAGACTAAATATTCTTTGCCCTGTTCATTCATCCAGTGAAGAGCAGGACAGAGAGGTGTCTCAGAGCAGTAATGTGAACAGCACCAGAGACGAGGTGTCTGTAAGTTTTCTTGCTTTCTTGGAAACGTTATTGGTTCCAAATCTGCCTCCTTAGGCTTGTTCAAGCCTTGTATCCAGTGACCTGTACAGATAAGGATGTTCCCAACACATCTGGAAAGGGTGTTAACATCTGTTTAACTGACACCCCTTAACTAACACCCTGGCAGTCCTGAATCCCACTTTGCGGAAGGACATTTCCCTCTCAAGCAGGCTGTGCTGTGAATTCCCTTTGAACAAAGGCCCTTGGAGTTAATGTCACCACTCCTTCCTGCTGTTAACTTGTTTCTAATCTCTATTCTATCCTGGACGCAGCGTGCAGTGGTTTCTTACTTACGTCTTTCTCGGAGACTGGCTGGTACCGGATGCTTCAGCAGATGTTCAGGTATGAAACAATTTGTTCGGATCACTCACAGCCTCTCACTTTGACTTTTGTCCTGGCTGTTGCATCCTCCATCTCCATCCGGGCTCCCTCCCTTTCTCCACCCAGTTTTCTGAGCAAAGCCAGTTTGTGGTGAGATGTACTCACTGGTGCAGAAGAGCAGGGAGCAGTCAAACATACTGCAGAAACACCAGCTTTATTTAGTCACTAATGTACAAGCCGTAACAGCTTTCGACCCCAGAACGGCTGCATGAAAAACACAAGAGCTCAGCAAGCAGGAGGCTTCTGGGTTTGGGTTGGTTTTCCCCCTGCCCACCCCCCAGCTAAATGTTGTTTGAGATAAATAAGCTTAAATGTTGCTTATGTGGAAAAGTAGTGAATCCATTCGAATATTTTAGAGTAGCCCAGAAAAACACTCCCTTTGTGGGAGAATGAATAAAGTAACACGCGGTAGTCTTAGGCACATGTGTAGAATTTCAGAGAAACTGAACTGGATTGCAGTTAAAACGTTGGGATGGTACATGGGGTTGAAAGTCCAGAGTCTTCAAAAAACGTTTTGAAAAGATGTTTCAAGAGTATTTTGCTCTGCAGTTACTTTTTTTTCCTTTTATTTTTTTTTTTTTACCTCCCGGTTTGTAAGGCACTATCCACACGGAAGACAACAAGGCACTTTGGACAAAGTGTTAGACTCAGATTTTCTAAGTTTTACGTTTAGAGAAGCGCCGGCGTGTCCGTGCCATGCAGATGTGCCCTGTGGAAGGACGCGTGTCCCTTCAGACCGCTTCCACATAGTTGGCTGGCAGCATGCCCGTCTTGCCAGTCCTCTGGACGGTCCCGTACATCCAGCCCTCGTCGATGGCTTGGACGTTCACAATCGTGTCGCCGTCTTTGAAGGAAACCTCGTCAGCGTCAGCTGCCATGTAGTCATACATGGCCCGGTAGGTTTTCTGTGAGTTTTGGGAAAGGAGGGGGACAAAAAAAAAAACCAAGAGACCTGTTTATAGCCCTGCTGTCAGCACTGAGCCACAGCTGTTGGTGAGAATCAAAGTGTAAGAGCAGGCTAAGGGCAAGTTATGTTTTGACTCATTTCAGCACTCTACTCCTGGTTTCAGATCACAAAATGTCTTTTCATTAAGGATTTACAAATTGAACTTTCACAATCCTTACCAGTTGTCTCTCTGGAAAGTTAATTTTCAAGTAGAAGCAGCCCCCGTGCTTCTGAGGGGGGCAGCCCACACAGCACCTTGGGTTACCTGTGTGTTTTAGTGACACTGAAGCTGAGCAAAATGTTCTCAGAAGGTATTTGAGCAGCTCCAGCTCCAACTCTAAGATGTTGCCTCCCCGCAGATGTGGGGAGGCCATGCCAAACCCCTTGTCATGTATCTAGAACTCAATCTCAGGAGCAGGAAGAAGTGTTAAAATTGAGTTTTCAAGAACAGGTGAGGGTCTGTCCCACTTCAGCAGATCTGTGACACCTTCACCAGGTTTTGTGCCCAGCCTCAGCCCTGTGGGCAGCACGTTACCGACTCAATCCTGGATTAACGTCAGCTGGAGCACAATGGAGCATCTTAAGCACCATCAGCTCTTGGAGACCTTGGTTGGCAGCTGGATTAACTCCTGTGTCGTAATGCAGCTCATCAGTGTTACTTACACCAGCAGTGGATGGATGAGAAGGAACCGACGACACCGTTGTTTGCTGGGTGGCCACTGACGATGACCGTTGTTGCGGTAACTCGATGGTTTTAGCATGTTTGTAGCCCACTGCAAAAGGAAAATAAAGTTTTGTGTCGTTCATTATGGAATTGGCAATAGGGTAAGGAGCTGCTCTGAATAAAGACCACAGGGGGGGTCATTAGGGGGGTCAGAACTGCCTTTTACCCCCTGAAGTACAACTCTATGCTGGTGGTTATGCCCATAACTCAGCACTTGGCAGGTATACTTCCGTGCTTTTTCCTGGCTAAGGGAATTCCTGAACAGGAGCGCATGACCAGTACTGCCCCGCCAGACAGGCTGGATACCAGTTGGTGTTTATTCACCCATGAGGACGTTTCTGTCCTCCTCGTACCTGTTGCAGCTGTGGTGAAGAAGCCGCTGTTGCTGTAGTAGGACAAATGTTGATCCACGCCGTCCGAGGGTTCCGATTTTTCATCGCCACCACTGATGCTCAAGGCACTGGCAGAGCGGGAGTGCTCCCGGCTGCGGCGCTGGGCTTGGACTGCAAGGAGAAAGTGGGAACCAATTTATGTCTCTGTTTTGGGAGGAGATGAAAATATATATGACTGTGCACATGAATGGAAAAAAGGGTGTGAATTAACCCGTCTGTTTTCAGGGCTGCTCAAAACATTCTATGGACACCAGGCTGAAGTTCTACTCAAAAAGGCACAGTTCATAGAATCACAGAACGGTTTGGGTTGGATGGGACCTCCAAGACCATCTATTTCTAACCCTCCTGCCATGGGCAGGGACACCCTCCACTACACCAGGTTGCCCAAAGCCCCATCCAGCCTGGCCTTGAACACTTCCAGGGATGGGGCAGCCACAACTTCTCTGGGCAACCTGTTCCAATACCTCACCACCCTCAGAGGGAAGAATTTCTTCCTTATCTTTAATCTAAATCTGCCCTCTTTCAGGTTAAAGAGGATGTTGTTACACCCCTGTTGTTTTTAACACAGTGCCCAAAGTTGGCACATAAGGCTGCGCTGGTGTTCAGGCAGCGTGGCCCCAGGCTGTCAGTTCTGCTGACGAGATTTGCACAAGTATAAAACCTATTTGGCACAAACAGTAGAGACTGTGGTACAAACCAGAGATCATATGTAAGCTCCTGGACTGAATATTGTCTTCTGCTGGGTCGTAGTCGAAGACGGACCCGGGATTAGTGCGCCACACGCGGAGACCTGCAAGAGAAATGGCATTTGCTGAGGAGCAGCTGGAGCTCAAGAAACTTTTAGAGAGCTCGAGCAGCACACGGCTGTCCTGAACAGGAGTAAAAGTGTATCAGAAAAGGGCAGGTGGCATTTCACAAATTTTATAGCACTGGTTAGGCTTTTTTTAAAAAAAAAATTTAATCTACATCATTTAATCCACATCTAGTGAGCTGAGGTATCTCTGTAGTATGCATAGAGATAAATTTAAAAATATAAGAAATTAAAATCTAGCATTACATTATGAAGTAAAATTTAATCTACATCATTTAATCCACATCAAGTGAGCTGAGGTATCACTAGTATGCATAGAGATGAAATTAAAAATATAATTAAGAAACAAAAATCTAGCATTACATTGTAAAGGGGGCAGAAGGGGAGAGGCAGACTGCAGATGATCGACAGCTGCTACAAGAGAATATTTTAAAAATGGACTTTGATTAAAAATATCATCTCCAAGTAACAATAAATTTGAATTGCTATGGCTGAGCTGAAATAGAGCACTTTGTGCTTTGTGTAAATGAAGTGCTCGAGTCGTTACAACACGCAGGCTCTGCTCACCTGTGAGGTTCTCTTGATCCTGGTCCACGCGCTTCCGCTCCATCTCCACCACCCGCCGCTGGATGCCCCTGTAGCTGATGTCACTGAAGTCCTGCATGTTCTTCTTCACGCGTTCTGTAATGGGGTCGGTAACTACAGGGGTGAAGCTGCCTTTGCTTTTCTCAAAATCTTCATGGTACTTCACCTGCAAGTTAAAAGGAAATGGCTGCTCTCTGCAGCTTCCGTGATTCATTTTTAGTCCCGCTTACCTCCCATGAATTTCTAGGAAAGAGGTGCACTGCTGTTCTGAACCTTTGCTCTCTCCAATCCAAGGAACAATGACAGAGTGCCTAATCCCAAATATGCCCTTCCTGCAGCCCCTCTTGCCTTTAGCATTTAACAATGTGGATAACCAAACCTGGTACATGCACATTGTCCTTGAGCTGCCAGCCCTGGAATGTCTCAGGAACAAGGATTTATTTAAACCACTTGCTGAGTTAAAAACGCATCGCTGAGTGCTCTTACTGTGGAGATGTGTTTCTGGGTCTCGCGTACACGCCGCATTTCAGGTGTATCCAGTACGTACGCGGCTTTGCCTTGGACTTGTTTTCGGAAACTGTCTGAATAAAGAACCTGCCAGGGGAGAGAAGGAAATGAGCCCAGGGCACAAAGCTGCTCTGTGTCAAGGAACGAGCTGCACTGAAGGAGGAGGAGGAAAAAAAAGGCAGCAGCAGCTGGTGAATAACATTAGAATGCAAAGCAAAATTCTTTTTCATAATTAGGAGAGACTTGGACAGCTCCAGACTTGATCCCAAATGCTCCTTTTTATAACTAAAAGAGCTTTTCTACCTTTTAACCTTGTAACAAGAGGCAGAGGTGATGCAGTACTGATGTTCTCGGTAATATTTTCATGTATTTGACCTGCACCTCGAAGCACTTAATGACACAGAAAGATAGACTCAGTTTTTTTAAAAAACCCCTGATAAAACAGGGGTTTTTTTCAAACTGTTGTTTAAAAAAAACACGACCCCAAACTAAAGCAGTTAATCACACAGAAAAATACACTCAATTGCAGCAGAAAAATTGCTAATATTAAACAATTTGATTTTAGTGTGGTTACTTTATACTTCCAAACTAGGTAGCTGGGTAGTTATGTTAACCCCTGCACTGCTAATTTGAGTAAGGATTTCAGAAATTGAAATGTTACTTTTTAACGTATTTTCATTTGTTGGCTGGACAGAACATACCGAGCTGATGTTTTCTTGGTTGCGTTTAGCTCTCTCCATCTCTGGAGTCATCGGTGTTGGAGTTCCTTTGGCCAGATGTTCCTTGTACAAAACCTGTAGTGCACAAAAAGGGGTCCACAAATCAGGCTGGAATAATTCACAGCTCATTCTGTACACGGTGTTATTGTTTAAGCATACTCATCACTGCAGGGGTAGAAAAGATCTTGGGAAATAAAGCATCTAAAAAGTTACTTGCTAGAGCAAAAGGTAGAAATGAAAGGGAAAAATAGGCCAAAATAAGGAAAACTGAGGAAATGAGGCTAAATTAGAAGTGGAGGTTTTGTTGAGAATGGTTATTTTTAATATAAGGTGGTTGTTTCTCTTCTTTCAGTACCGAGCTAATGTGTTCTTGATTGCGCTTGACTCGCTCCATCTCGGGAGTGACCGGAGTGGGAGTTGCCTTCCCTAAGCCCTCTTTGTACACAACCTACAGATCACAAAGTAACCCAAAGTCACCAATGTGCAAATCAAAAACTGTAATGTTACTGGTTTTAGAGTAAACACCATCCACCACAAAAGAAAAAAAAAATGGTCAGAGGAAAAAATAGTATTAAAAAGTTAATGGAAAAAAAAATCTTTCAAGTTTAATTTCAAGAGATGACTTTCTAAGTTTGAGGGAAAAAAAAAAAGAGGGTTAAAAAAAATCAGGCAGACTTAAGTTATTTAAAAAAAAAAAAAAAAGTGTTCTATCATATCCCCTTTACTTCTTCCAGCCAATACCGAGCTAATGTGTTCTTGATTGCGCTTGACTCGCTCCATCTCTGGAGTGACCGGAGTGGGAGTTGCCTTCCCTAAGCCTTCTTTGTACACAACCTACAGATCACAAAGTAACCCAGCGTCACCAATGTGCAAATCAAAAACTGTAATGTTACTGGCTTTAGGGTAAACACCATCCATTACAAAAGAAAAAAAAAATAGAGAAAAAAATGGTATTAAAATGTTAATTGACAAAAAAAATCTTTTAAGTAAGTACTGTAATTTCAAGAGATGACTTTCTAAGTTCGAGGGGAAAAAAATTAGAGGGTTAAATAAAACCAGGCAGACTTATTAAAAAAAAAAAAAAGATTTATCATATCCCTTTTACTTCTTGCAGACAATACCGAGCTAATGTGTTCTTGATTGCGCTTGACTCGCTCCATCTCTGGAGTGACTGGAGTGGGAGTTGCCTTCCCTAAACCTTCTTTGTACACAACCTACAGATCACAAAGTAACGCAACGTCACCAATGTGCAAATCAAAAACTGTAATGTTACTGGCTTTAGGGTAAACACCATCCACCACAAAAGGGAAAAACAATAATGGTCAGAGGAAAAATGGTATTAAAAAGTTAATGGACAAATAAAAAAAAAAAATCTTTCAAGTAGTTTAATTTCAAGAGATGACTTTCTGAGTTTGAGGAAAAAAAAATTAGAGTGTTAAATAAGACCAGGCAGACAAGTTATTAAATAAAAATGTTTTCTATCATATCCTCTTCTTGCAGACAATACCGAGCTAATGTGTTCTTGATTGCGCTTGACTCGCTCCATCTCTGGAGTGACTGGAGTGGGAGTTGCCTTCCCTAAACCTTCTTTGTACACAACCTACAGATCACAAAGTAACGCAACGTCACCAATGTGCAAATCAAAAACTGTAATGTTACTGGCTTTAGGGTAAACACCATCCACCACAAAAGGGAAAAACAATAATGGTCAGAGGAAAAATGGTATTAAAAAGTTAATGGACAAATAAAAAAAAAAAATCTTTGTAAACACCATCCACCACAAAAGAAAAAAAAATGGTCAGAGGAAAAAATAGTATTAAAAAGTTAATTGACAAAAAAAAAAAAAAAATCTTTCAAGTAGTTTAGTTTCAAGAGATGACTTTCTAAGTTTGAGGGAAAAAAATTAGAGGGTTAAATAAAACCAGGCAGACTTAAGTTATTAAAAAAAAAAAAGTTCTATCATATCCCCTTTGCTTCTTCCAGCCAATACCGAGCTAATGTGTTCTTGATTGCGCTTGACTCGCTCCATCTCTGGAGTGACCGGAGTGGGGGTCGCTTGCCCCAAGTTTTCTTTGTACAACACCTGTGGGATACAGAAGGTGTATCCGGTATTTTAAAACCCCCTCAAAAATCAAAAGGATTTGAACACGGATTATTACTTGGTTATGAAATTCCCAAAAAGTCACGACTGATTATGATAGGCAGCACTGCACAAAAGCCAAACGCCTACTGCCGGAAGGAAGGGTAAGAAAAGGAAACTGTGAAGGAAAAGCGTGTTATTTTTGTGGTTAACAACGGGCTCTATCCAGCTACAACTATGACGATGGCTCCACAGGCTCCGAGAAGCTGCCTGTGGCCCTGGAGAACTGTTTTACCTGCTTTTTTTTTTCTGTATTTGAAGGAATTTGTGAAGAAGGAGGTCAAGGAAGGGTGTCTGGTATCACTGCACCATTACACCTACACAGCTCCCCAGTCCATGAGGCCACCTAAAAGCTGTGGCTGATACACCACCCGGATCAGGAGCAGCCTCATTCCTTTTGTGTCATTCTGTCCAAGGCATCCTGTGTCGCCTGTCACAGCACTACAATCACACATGGGTCAGAGAGGTGGGATTTTTCGGGATGGGGTGGTTGGGTGCCTCGTTTGTTTGGGTTTTGGTGAAGTCAAATACCCCTGAAATGCCTATGAAAGCTTAATCACTAAGCACAGAGAGAGAAACCCGAATAATCGTCACCACAGGATGCTAAACTCTGAATATTGTCTGGATAGAGCCCACAGATACACAAACTGAGCTGTAGAAAAGGCCTAAATTTCTGGATCAGACTGTTAACACTAAAGTAATATTTTAGATTTTTTTTTTTTTTTTTAGAAGAGGAGAGATTAATTTGCAGAACCAGTATATTTTTTAAACTAAAATCAACTTTCAGTAAGTCGTTAGAATGTTACGTTATTAAGATGTAAGCACGAAGCAAAAAAGAAATACATCTATTTGTAAGGTACCGAGCTAATGATTTCTTGATTGCGTTTGACTCTCTCCATCTCTGGAGTGATTGGTGTTGGGGTCACTTTCCCCACATTTTCTTTGTACAAAACCTACAGGATACAAGGGAGTATCTAAATGTCATTAAAAAGGAAAAGAAAAAAACCAAAAACACAACAAAACAAACAAAAACCCCCCAAACAGACAATACAGCTTTTGAATAATGGCACTGAGAAAGGGTTAGATTTGGGGCACAGTGCTGGTGGGAGCTTGGCCATGGATCTACCAGAATGCAGAACTGGACCCTGCACGGGGTCAACTCTGCATGAAACCACACTAGTAGTAAGAAAGGGTTAAAAAAAACTGCAGAGAAACAATGTCCATCCCCGAAAAAAAGTCCAAGCTTGTTCCAGTCAAACCCTTCTTGAGCTGGTGTTAGGCAGAAGGTGCCAGGGGCTGTTTGTGAGCACGGGGGGAGGTTTGTGCCAGGCGGCAGAGGTGGGGTATGGCGTTAGGAAGCGCGGATTACGGAACGCTACGGGTATGTCAGACACTTCATTCAGCTCTTCAGGAGCTGTTTCCCGTGAAAAATACCGAGCTAATGATTTCTTGATTGCGTTTGACTCTTTCCATCTCGGGAGTGACGGGTGTGGGGGTGGCTTTCCCTATGTTTTCTTTATACAACACCTATGAGACACAAGAGAGGAGCCAAAGAAAGCAACAATAAATAAAAACCTATCCACAGACAAACTTTAAGGCTTTTTTTTTCTTTTTTCTTGTACTTATTTTCTCAGGGCCTGGGTATCATATCTAGTTTTAAAGAAGGTACTTAGTAACATTTTACTGGAGAAGCAGGGTTTAGCATACTGGCTTTTTAATCCCAGGATCACTCATAACGAGTAGCGTTAAGTACCACGAAATGAGACCACAAAACCACCGCACCGAAGGGCTGAGGATGTTATGAATATGTGAATTATTTCTTTAAAAAAAGAATGTCGGCACTGCAGAGAAAATGGAGTTTGTTAAACATTTTTAGGCTTAGAGTAGAGCATTAAAACCACTCTTAAAACCAAGTAAAACTGTAACAAGTTAAGTTCACCACTGTAAACCACAGTAAGACACGAGTAAGAAGCAACCACTTATGTCAGCTGCTGTAGAGCTGCGGGGGGGCATTACTCTGGACCGTGTTACAACGTCCATTTATTAAATCTGTTAAAATGTTCATTTAGACCAAGTTAAAGGGAACTTTTTTTCTTAGCAAAGTACCGAGCTACAGATCTCTTGATTGCGTTTGGCTCTCTCCATCTCTGGAGTGATGGGAGTGGGGGTCCCAGTCCCCACGCTCTCTTTGTACAACACCTGTGCAGCAACAAGAAGCATCCAAAAAAATCATCACAGCTCAATAACGATTACACCCAACAGGAGGTCAAATATTTGAGTCTGCTGGAGCTCAGACTGCTCCAACGTGCCCTAAAAACCACCCCTGGAAGCAGGGAAGACTGGATTGCTCTCGTGAGGGTCTGTGGTTTTATATCAGCACAGAAGCCTCTTCTGTCAAATACATTTTCGTGGTTTAGGGGCGCTTTTAAACTACCATTAAAGCCTGGTGGAAAGTTGGACCCTCCATTTTTTATGAAAACAGCATTAAAGCAGGAAAACAATAGGATTTAAAAGAACAAAACCGAAAACACATAGAAAAAGGAAGTTGGAACAGGGAGCAAAATGGTTAAAAGGATTTAGGATTATGCAAAGAATTACATATATGAAGAAGTGGTAGGTCAGTAACACTGGAAAATACAATACAGTGAAGAAAAAAGGATGGTTTTATAAGTCGATTACATGGAAGTAACGAGTGGAATTGTTCATTTTTAATAGAGGTTAAAAAGTTCCGTTTCAGGGGAGTTAAAGGGAATACATATTTTCCTCCACAAAATACCGAGCTAATGTGTTCTTGATTGCGTTTGACTCTCTCAACCTCGGGAGTGACAGGTATTGGGGTTCCTGTCCCCAGATCCTCTTTGTACAACACCTGTGGGGTGACATGGCCACGTGAAAAAAAAAAAAAAGAAAAAGGAACAAGCAAACAACAGTAACACACAGCTTGCTGAGAAAACAGACGGAATATTTCCCAGAGTCGCTCAGAGCCAAAGCTTGGAATAAAAGAGAAAGATTAAAATGCTCCTCAAAACTATCCAGCTAAACGCTAACGCTCTGCAACGCCTCCTGGCAGAAAGCAGTATGCCTTCTTCACTGGCTTCTCAGGAGCTGTACAGGAAAATTGTGCAACAGGAGATCGTTAAAGGCTTCCTAAAGGCAGAAAGTATCAAATACAACACAAAAGGAACAAAGCAATCGACTCTGTTCCATGTACCCAGTTCACAACCATCACAGCAGGTCACACTGGCACGGATTAGTGCGCTCTTAGACTGAGGGCATTTCCACAGGTTGGTATCAGGTGTGAATAGTTTAGTTCTCAGATGTAAAGTAAGTAAAATCAGGGAAAAAAACCCACAAAACAAAACTAAGGATTGTTGTGATTAAGAAAAGGAAAAACGGGGTCTTTTCTAAGAACAAAAAAATTAAAAAGATAATCGGAGTCAAAAGAAAGGCGGAATTAGAAGTTGTTATTAAGACGAGATAATAAAAAAAGAGGAACAAGAAGGATGTAAGTAACACTTACGGAGGAAAAAAATCTCCAAGGGATCAGGACATTATTTTTTCTGTAAGCTGATTATAGAGGAACAACAATTTTTTTTTTTTTGCATGTGTTAGAAGTATTTTAAAAGAGATTAAAAGGGAATTTTCTGCTTTTCAACTTCAAAAATACCGAGCTAAAGTGTTCTTGATTGCGTTTGACTCTCTCAATCTCAGGAGTGACAGGTGTTGGGGTTCCTGTCCCCAGATCCTCCTTGTACAACACCTGTGGGGTGACATGGCCGCGTGAAAAAAAAGGAACAAGCAAACCACAGTAACACTCTGTTTGCTGCCAGAACACACAGAACACGAGAGAGATTTTTTTCTGAGATATCCTGAACAAACACAGGGATTAAAAAATCCACAAAAATAAAAAACTAGCTTAGAACTCTGCCTTCAGAGTTCAGCACTAATGCACTGGCCTGACCAGAACGCTAGAACACCTCCCCAGCGCCGTTAAGCGCTTCTCAAGGTGGGCGTTTCACACCGGGGAGTATTTCAAGACTTACACAGATGATGATGAAGTACATCGTTGTCTTTTCACCAGCACTGAAGTAAACTGTTTCCTGACTGTACCCGAGCCACTGGGGGACCAGGTCCTAATGTGCCTTCCTAAAAGTTTTTATGTATACACATACCTCAACAAAGAGTCATCCACCTCCTGATGGAAACACTACTTATTGCCCAGGGTTTATCATCAAAGAATCCAGCTTGCTTATTGCAAGAAGGATCCAGAGATATGATCATAGCAAAGGCGTCTGCGTGCAAATGGGACTGGAGAAATTGTAATTACTAGTGCCTTCCTATCTGATGTGACACCTTCCTCATCCTGAGAGAGATTCTAAAGCTACTCATCTTTTCACCCTGCAAACCTGCGCTGCCAACGTTATCTAGAGCAGTTAACACCAGCTGGAGATTTGGGCCACTCTGTCTGTGCAACAATATTAAAGACTTTCTAAAGGATGGAGGCATCAAATCCAATGCAGAAGGAGTAAAGAAATCCATTCTGTTCCGTTCACCCATTCCATAAACATCACAGCAGGTTACACTGGCACGTATCAGAGAGCTGTTACACCGAGGTCATTGCCACAGATTTGTGTCAGGCAATAAACAGTTTAGGTTTTATATGCAGAAAAAACAGGGAAAAAAACATCAGCCAAGAATTGAATTAACAAAAGGAAAAGCAGATATTAAAGAAGAAAAAAATATGTTCAGTCAAAAGAAAGATGGAAACACAGAATCTAAAAGTTATCATTAGTAAGATGATCTAATAAAAACAAAGTGAGTAACAATTATGAAGGAAAAAATGTCAAAACATGGGGAACAGGATATTCTTTTTTGTGTAAATTGATTACAGGGAAATGCAAGAGTATTTTTTTGGTGTTAAAAATATTTTAAAATAGATTAAAAGGGAATTTTCTGCTTTTCAAATTAAAAAAAATACCGAGCTAAAGTTTTCTTGATTGCGTTTGACTCTCTCGATCTCAGGAGTGACAGGTGTTGGGGTTCCTGCCCCCAGATCCTCTTTGTACAACACCTACATGGTAACATGGGAGTTCAAAACAAGTTAAGAACAAAAAAAATTACTGCATTTGATGGAGGTAACACATACAATTTTTACACCCACTAAATCTACTAGAAAGCAGGAAAAATTAGGAAGTATAAACCAGTTAAAAATTGTGATAAATTCAGAGAAAGTCTTCTGATAGCTGGAAGCACTGCATCCTAATCCTTAGATAGGCTTCAACAGAATAATAAAGCATTAGAAGAACGGAATTAAGCAAATAAAAACCCAGAGGTTTTTAAAAATGCAAAATATCTGAAGCTTCACAAAAAAAAAAAAAGCTTTAATGAAGCATCAAGTGTTATGATTAGAAAAAAATCTTTTAAAAAATAAGTACGTAAAATATAACTAACAATGAGTAAAAATTTTAATAGCAGAAAGAGGATGTTTCTATGTTTATGAGTTAATTAGAGAGAGTAGAAAATTTACAAGTGTTAAATAGTTACAGGGAACTTTTTTTCTTAAATTACAACAAAAATACCGAGCTAAAGTTTTCTTGATTGCGTTTGACCCTCTCCATCTCAGGAGTGACAGGTACTGGGGTTCCAATCCCCAGCCCCTCTTTGTACAACACCTGTGTGGCAACAGGGAATTATTAAAAAAAGAAAAAAAAAAAGAAAAGAAAGGGAGGAGGAGGACAGGGAGGAGAGAGAGAGAAGACAAATAATTTAATACAGTGAAACTTCCAAGTATGAAAACCAGAGTTCTGTCAGCCTTGCTCAAAGGCTGGCCAAGAAAAGACAATGCAAATCATCAGCTGACATTAATTACCCCCACGTTTGTTGCCATCCCACCTGGGTGCACAGAAATAGCTGCAGGAGCGTTTTGTGCCCAGCAGAGCTTGTGCCAAGGCACCTGAACACTCTTACGAAGGAGTCTCCTCACTCAAACAGAAGATCCTGAACGAGCAGCTTCACCTCTAATAATTCCTAAACAGGCTCAGCAGCACAAAGGAGACCCATGATGACCTCGGAGCCAGTTAAAAGTAGCAAAACGTTTAACTGGGGCTTCTCTGAACTGTCCTATTAACCTCAAGTCAGGACTGAATTTTGCCCATGGCTCAACTAGGTCAGAGTGAGTCACAACTAGTCCCCAGCTGCTCTAATTAAAACAAAAATATAGAACAAAATTATGACATAATGGCCATTTGACTGGAATGTGTTAGGAGTAGGAACAACCTGGACAGAAATGCATTGCTACAGTAATTTTTCCTTATATATGCATTTTTCATCAGTCTTTCATCTTGCAGCCATATGGGGATGCCACCCAGGTTTTCTTACAAAGATCTGTAGGAGATAAAAAAGCATCCAACACAGCAAAAGCAGGAAAAGAGCCAATACCCACTACTTGCATTAGGTTGCTTCAGGAAGTGTTAGGAGTTCATTTTTCATTTGGGGGGCAACCAGTGCGGCGAGTCTGAAGACTTTGTTATTGGGGAGGAGAGTGACATCAGACTATTTCAGTGGGAAGAAAACCAAGGTGCTGCTCAACTGCTTTAAGTAAACGAGGTTAAAATCCCACAGCTGGAACAGTTTAATGACAATTAAGTTAGGCTGAGTGAAAAATGATAAAGTTTTAGTGATTCGATTAAGAAAGGGTTGTTCAAAGTTTGACAAAAAATTGAAAGAAAAGTTTAATGTGGAGGAGTTAAAGGGATTTGATTTGAAATGACGGGTTTTGTTTCATTGAGCAATACCGAGCTAATGTTCTCTTGATTGCGTTTGACTCTCTCCATCTCTGGAGTAACTGGTGTGGGGATGCCAGTCCCTAAGCCCTCTTTGTATAACACCTGTGAGGTACAAGAAAGTTTCCACAAAAAAAAAAAAAAAGCACTCAACACAGGCCAAATCATTAAATCTGACTATTTTGTGAGTTGGGTTTAGTGTTAGGATCACTTTTCAATTAATTTCACACTTGTTCTACAGGTAAATATTAAGGAAGGGGCTGATGGTTGATTATTTTGTAAATATACGACTACAGATACTAGAAGATAAAGGGTTAAGATAAAACAAACAGAGAGAGAAATACCACTTGGTTAATTTCACAGCTTACTGCCAGTTTTGGTTCTTGAAAGAAACGCATGTAAAGTTGTAAATCAACAAAAAAAAGTTAAAAGCACAAAAAGGTGGAATAGGAATGAGTTAAAAACATCGCCAGGGAAAAGACAGGAGCAGGGTGACGTTCTAAACCACTGAAGAAAAACAGATTATAGATTAGGGTGTTACGCAAAAATCAGTTGTTATAATTTTTTTTTTTTAAATACCGAGCTAATGTGTTCTTGATTGCGTTTGACTCTCTCTATCTCTGGAGTGAGAGGTGTTGGGATACCTGTCCCTAGGTCCTCTTTGTACAACACCTGCAGAACACAAGCACCCAGCAAGGTGAGAAGATCAAATTCCTTCCACAACAACGACATTGTTGGAAATTGTACATTTGGAAAGATCATTTACCTGGTTTATAGGTGGATATAAGCTGGGATTATATGCAAATATGGGCACAATTGATTTTATTCAGTGTGCATCGTTGTAAGTGCAGTCACCAGCTCAGCCAAGTTGTCTTTTTGAACTCACTGACGTTAACGGAATACTCCCTTATAGTAGGACACAATTCAACCTTTAATTTTAATTTTTAATTAACAATTTAATTTTTACCTGGCTTAAAAGGTAGGCATGTTTTGCTTTTTATCTTAGTTTAGAAATGTAATAGTATTACTTTTAAGGCAGTCAGCATTTCCAGAATGTTTTTTTGTTTGTGGTTTTTTTTTTTTAATGATGTTAACAAAGAGCTGAACCTTTTATAGATATATTTAACACAAAAATACTTAGTTGTGGGCTCCGTTTCATTTTAATCTCTGTGACTATTTGTTCAGAACACCACTATTTCACTTTGGTTTAAGTCTTTGGTTTAAGAAAAACGTGAGTTTTAGCTTTCATATTATTAGATTTGACTTAACCTGTAATTGTTTGATTTAAAAAAAAATGCATTTTTCATCAAACAGTTGCATAGGAAAATGCCTGGTTTGGTTTAAAATCTAACCATGTAGAAACAGATTACAAAAACACTCAGTTCTTCTTGCAACTATTAAAATACTTGCAACAAAACAAGATAAAAAAAATATTTCACTGCTTGATGTCTTTGAAACAATAAAATACAAAAATAAAGCCCTCACAGCAAGGGAAAACAAATCATGTAAAAGAAAAAATGAAGAATCATTTGAAAAAAACAACTCAATTGTGCAAAAGTGAGCTGTACAACACACTAGTATCATCAACAGGTCAAAAAGAAAGAGTACTTCTAAAATCAGGAACGGAAAATCCTAAAATGGTCATTATATGGCTGTCACTGCTCCTCAGCATTGTATCACAAACATCTGAGGCACCAGTAATCCCAAAACCATATCCTGCCTCGATTCTGGATGGAGAGATCAAAGCAAAGCAGCAGTGGCTCAAAATCACGAGAGCAAGTTGTGGTTATTGAAATCTAACTTCACTGAACAGGGGAAAAACCAGAGCTGTTTCCACTTGTAATTGTCACCAGGTTTTGTGAACACAAAAAAGGCTCCAATTATTTTTTTTCCCAGAAAGTTTTCCCTAGCTGACCTGTTTTTTTCAGAATAATTACAAGACATCACCTGGGTATTTTTTGTTTCCCAGTTCTGTTTCTATAAAAGGCCACAGAAGCAATACAGGGAAGTGGCTGATTGTAATAATTACTGCAAAATTCAGATATTTCAACTCCCTGCTGCTGAATGAGAGATCTGTTCCCTTTTCAACAAAAAATATGCCCAAACACTACCAGATGCTGGAGCTTGAGCTACAGGTAAGAAGAAAATATCGTCCCTTACCGAACTGATGTGCTTCTGGGTCTCCTTGACACGCTTCACTTCTGGGAGGTCAGGAATTGGAGTTCCTTTTCCAATACTCTCCTTGTACTTAATCTGCAAAGGCACAGACGTGAGGGAAGAGTAAAGGGCTTGCATCAAAGCACAGCTGAAGCAGGTATGTGTAACGGGTCACACGAATAAAGAAACACAGGCCCTTTACACTTTGTAAACTCATTTAAACCTCAAGTGCTGATGTACTCTGAGGGAAGGAAACCACCTGTTATCTACTAGTTATCTGTTAGGTAACTGCCCCACCGCTGCACAGCACTGCAACAATAACTCGGCTTCAGGTAAAAAAGCAGAGTCTTGTTTCAGCCAGAATTTTTCAATGGAAGCTCAAAATTTGGGTATCTAATGTCTCCCAGGAGCTTCATTTCAGCAAGAACGTATCCCCTGGTTCCTAACAACTGAACCGTTTCAAGGCTTTTATACTATCAAAAAATTGTGATATTAAAAATTTAAAATAATTTCTAAAAGATGTAGCCTAGTATCCTGTGTGGATACATAAAGAGCGTCATCCTGATCTCATGGAGAACGAAAATTTAAAAGATCTCATTGGCTTTAACATGAGCAGAGTGTTCTGTTAGAAGGTAACTTTGGCTGTTGATGAGATGTCACTGTGAGCAGCACTTTACTAAAAGGGTGTCCTAAAACCAGGTGTAAATACCTTCACACCTGGTACCATTTGGTCTTTTCTACCAACGAAAGAAGAATTTCTGATTGCAAAAAATCTATCGTATTCAACAAAGGTGAGAGTCACCATACAACATTTTAACAATTACAATGCTATTTGCTTTGCTACTTGAGCATAACAAAAAAAAAAAAAAAACAAAACATATTTAACACAGTATGCATGAAACAAATAGGCATTCAAAAAAAAAAAGCAAGAAAAATATTTACAAGTTTCAAAAAAAAAAGTAATATATACAACCATTCCAATTTTAGAGCGTTACAAGTTTTACAAAACATGCTTTAGTAAGGCTGTTGGCACTGGTGGCCCTGGCACCCTCACAGACAAGCTCTCAAAGGATGGGCTGGAAAAGTGCACAGTGACATGGAGGGAAAACTGGCTGAACTGCCGGGCTGGGACTGCAACAGGCTGGAGAAACGGGCTGAGAGGCATCTCATGAAGGTCAACAGGAGGACATGAAACGTCCTGCACCTGGGGAGGAATAACTCCAGGCTGGGGTGCATGCTGGGGGCTGTCTGGGAAGCAGAGAAGGACCTTGGGGATCTGCTGGACAAGCTGACCACGAGCCAGCAACGCACCCTCACGGCCAAGAAGGCCAACAGCACCCTCGGCTGCATTAAGAAGGGCACTGCCAGCAGGTCAGGGAGGTGATCCTTCCCCTCTACTCAGCACTGGTGAGGCCACATCTGGAGTTGTGTGTCCAGTTCTGGACTCGTCAGTACAAGAAAGATATGGTCTTACTGGTGCAAGTCCAGTGCAGGGCCACAAAGACGAGTCAGAGATAGGAGCATCTTTGATATGAGAAGAGGCTCAGAGAGCTGGGACTCCTCAGCCTGGAGACGAGCAGGCTCGAGGGGGAACTCACCCATGTGTATAAACACCCCATGAGAAAGAATGAAGAGGAGGAAGCCACCCTTCTCAGTAGCGCTCAGTGACAGCACAAGAGGTAATGGCCACAAATTAAAAACCAGAAAATTCAATGTGAGCACAGGAAAATGCTTTTCTGCTGTTGAGGGTGGGTCAGACACTGGAACAGGTTGCCCAGAGAGATTGTGGAGTCTCCATCCTTTGAGATATTCAAAACTCAATGGGATGTGGTCCTAGGCAACCTGCTCTAGCTGACCCTGCTTGAGCAGCAGGGTTGGTGTAGATGTTCCCAGGAGGCCCCTTCCAACCCAAATGATTCATTGATTCTACACATTTAGCACAAACTGTGTTTGGGATGAAATTAAACTGATGGCAAGAGCTTTCCTGTTTTAGAAATGGATTGTAAGTAACAAATTGGATGTTAATCATTAGAAAGATTACTGTTTCAGTAAAAAGAATAGACAAGAACTTTTAGAAAGTAACCCTTAGCTGAGTAGATTATTGTCAAGCCACTGTTAGCAACATTTAAAGAAATAAGAGGGGAGAAAAATATTATTTCAAGTTGAATTAGCACTGGTAGAGTATTAAAAATCAATTCTTCTGTACCGAGCTAATTGCATCCTGGGTTCGTTTAACTCTCTGCATCTCTGGTGTCTTTTCAATAGTAGTTCCAGTTCCAATATCTTCTTTATACAAAATCTTCATATTTAGAATCAAGACAACAAGGTTAAGCATACAAAACACAACATTATTTCTTCTAGACAGCGATTTGTACACAGCAGTGCAGGCAGAAAGCCCATCTGGAGGATCAGCCACTGTCCTACTGCCTCTCTGAAGTCCGTCCTGCTACGAGCGGCGTTTGTGCAAAAAAGGGGCTGATGGTTCATATTTGCAGTAATGCATTTTAAGAAGAACACCAAAACATTTGTAGGGTAATTTTAGAATTGCAGACTAGTATTTGTGCTAATGTCTTCCTTTTCTACTAATTTGTTTTATGATGTTTTATGTAAATGTCTTCCACTCAGTTACTTACTACGCTAACGGCGCTAGTGGCAGAAGGACACAGCAACTTTAGGCACTTCATGGCCACACATGAAACGTGAAACAAAGCAGACAGTTCACTTCTCACTGCAAGAAGACAGCTGCAACACAACGAGAGTGCACTGCTTACATGATAACGGGACAAACGCAAGGTCAAGAACAGGAACACCAATTTAAGCAAAGGATTGATTGTTTGACCGTGCCACGGCTGTGTAGGAAAAGTGCAACCAGGGCACTCCACAAATAACAGCAGCTAAAAGGGGCAGCTGTTTGAAAAAGTTCTTACACACATCTAAGCAGATCAAGAACATAAGTAGCTGTAAGAATAGAGCCAAAATTAGCTATTTAATTAAACATATTAAACTGTGTTTTTTTGGAATGAGAACTGAAAACAGAAAATAACCATACCGAGCTGAAATTCTTCTGGTTTTCTTTGACACGCAGCATTTCTGGTGTGTCTTGTACAACTGTAACTTTTCCTTTACTGTTCTGTAGGTCCCACTGATACTGAAGCTGTTGAAAAAGTTGAAGTGAAATGTTAAACACTGACTCTACGCCTAAAAATTTACTCACAGAGTTTTCTTTGGAGATGAGGAAAAAAAATACATTTTCAGGTACATGTTATAAAAAGGTCATTTTAACACCACCATTAGTGACATAAAGATGTACCAGTTACAAGTATTCTTATTTAAATTAGCAGTAGGAGATCCTTCACTAGATTCATTGGAAAAATCTTGAAAGGTGCCACATTGTAAACAATTAAGTCTCAACAATGAAAGTTAAAGATTCCAAGTCAGATTGTGGAGTTCCATTACTGGCCATACACTCTCCCAGGTAGTCCCACTAACAGACAACTTCTGTAAGCACAATTCTCTGTTACTTGCAAAGGAATTGTTAAAGCACGGCAGCAAAAAGGTTTTTTTTTTTCAAGAAAATCACAGAATTGTTTTGGTTCCCTGTGTGATGCATAAGTGGGCTGCTGCACACCCAGCAGACCCTTCAACTGAAGATCCCTGAGAATATAAAGGCAGCCTAGCTGGGATTAGAGTGGGATATCAGGACCTTAAATGAAGAAAAGCTGAACATTTTTTATTATTTGGTAATACCAATGTTTATTATTTCTATACGTACTGTGCTGAAGTTCTTTTGATTCTCACGAACTCTCTGCAACTCCGGTGTGTCTGTTACAGGCACATAGTATGGCATAGTCCTTTCTGCATCTTCCTTATACTTTTTCTGATAAAAAATACAAAGCACAGTCCATTCATACAAAACCAGTAATAACCAACTTGGCATTACTTATTGTTGCATAATGTCCACCTTTATAGAAATGTGAGTACTTCTGCATCTGACACAAATTCAGATTACGCCTCTGCATAACATTTCTTTTAAACATTATTAAGGAGTAGAAAAATTAAGCTAAATCTACTCAGAACAAAATCATCTTTGGTATTGCAAAAGCAATAGGAATTATTGTTTCATTTTATAGAGTATTCAAGTAAATTAATTTCAATACTGAAACGGAATTTCAGAGTAAGAGATGCCACATCAGAGCTCTAGAGAAATTTGTTTTTCTGCCTGAGTGTTGTGACAAGCAGTTATTTAGGTGCTCCAAATTAGTGCTCACTCAAGGTTCTCACATGAACAATGATTAAATCGCTTCACTCAAGATACCTGGCTCGAAAGGTTCTTGACCTGCTGGGCATGAATAATCTCTGGAGTATCAACAACACTGGTGTAGTTTGCTTTCTCCATTTCTGCCAATTGTTTATATTTGATCTGTTGGGGAAAGCTCACATTTAAGTGCCTTAATCATGTCTTGACAACAATTTTCATTTGGTTTAATCAGAAAAAGCTGTTAATGAATTTTCCTTCAAAGAAGGCATCAGATGTGACAGATGAGATATTCACACAGACCTGGCTGGCGATGTCAGTGGCATTCTTTGCTCTCACGAAATCTGGCGTCTCCAAAGCCAGTTCTGTCAGACCTTTTCCTCTGATTTCTAAATCCAAGGCTTTTTTGTATTCTTTCTGCAGATGAAGACAGTAAATAGATACTGTGTCACTGTGAATGCAATACATTTAGCAACTCCAGATCCTTTAATGATCACACCTCAAAACAGGAATACTACTAATATAAACTCAGAAGTAAACACACAAATGATGTCATTTAAGTGTTTATCACTTAAATCTTGAGGACAAGCAGCCCTACTGCAGCAGTTAATGGAACACGCTACAGGTCAGCTGTATTAAGGTCACTTTTCCTTATCACATCCGTAATCTCAAAGTGCAAATTCCTTCAGGTGACCAGTGCAAAACAATAACTTGTGCAGAAGAGAAGGAACACAGAGCAAGCAGTGTAGGAAATGCATGTGGAGTGCAGAGTGGTCACAGGCATTTAACAGTAACCATGTCCAAAAAACGTCAGGATTCTCTGTGATGTTTTGGGCCCTTTGGAATGAACACTCTCCCTAAAAACTCAGTGCTGCAGCAGCCACTCTTCCCAAAGAGATCTTCCACTAAGGTCTAAAAGATGTGTTTTGTATAGATTGCTAGAGTTCGTATCTCTCTATGCCCACTCTGCTGAACTTAGCTGAATATGTCTGTAATATTCTGGTAATAAAATATAGGCTTTTTGAGTAACTCAAAAGCTCTGCACTACTAAGTACAAAACACTCTTGTCAGTAAGGATGTTTATCTTAAGAGTATTTTTTTAGGAAGGAAAATCATAAGTAACACTCCAAAGTTACTTTTTTCAGCTTTCAGCCTGATGATGTTAAAGCTCTTAAAACACGAGTTATCTTCTCCTATGAAAGCAATCACCATGAAATATTTATTATGCCAGTCCACCCCGTGAATGAAGTAGCTGTTGGGTTTGCATTCTGCCTGTCTGCTGGCCACCTCTCCCCACCAAAGGGGGGAAGACTGCTGCAGCTATCAGTCCTGCAGTTGCCAAGGGGGCATCAGTCCTGGGCAGGGGGCACTGTTCAGGAGCACAGCTGGTGTTTCTGGCTCACCCCTCAAGAACAAAGCATTCAAAAAGAGCTCCTTGCTGCACAGCACACCTCCCGAAGCAGAATTATGCCAGTTTGGCTCCCTCATTGTAGAGCCTTTCTGATCTCTCAATTTGCTGCCTGTTTCCTCAGCCTTGGTCCATCAGATCCTAATCCTTGGTAAGTGCTCCTGACCTACACCACCTCGTTCACAAAATTGACACCTCTGGTTCCCACACTCAGCCTTGCTGCATCACAGTGCTGGTTTAGGCTACGCCTTGACTGATTTGGCTACTGGTCACAGCACGTGTTTCCCACCTATATTCCTGATAGGAACTGCAAAGCCAGAAACAGCTTAGTTACGAGTTCAGGCTCCCAGTTTTATCCTTATCCAGCCATACACATTCTTTTTTCTCTTTAGCAAAGAGTTTCTAGGGAATGACAAAGTTCATACTAGTGTTATAGAGCCATAAGCATTTATCAGTTGGAGGCTGTTACATCCAGTCAGGTATTTTCCAAGCAGCTTTTGGACATACCTCATTCAGGATTTGAGTTGCATTCTTTGCTCTTAACATGTCTGGAGTCTCCTCTAAAGCTGTCAGTCCTTTACCTTTGACACCTTCCTCCAGATCCTTCCTGTACTCTTTCTGCAGAAGAAAGAAAATGAAAACTGCCAGACTAAAGAGAGTTTTAGACTCTACAATTTGGTTGCAAAAATTTTAACAAAAAGAAAAAAAAATAAAAATTCCAAAAGCTCCAAAAGAAAAAAAGAAGTTTTTAAAACAACAAAGAATATTATACAGAGTTATATAAGAACTACTGCAACAGAATATAGTAATTATTGCTCAAGATAAATTGCAAAGGCACACACACACACGTACACTCCACTATGGAACGAATGTCAGAAAGGGACACGATGAATACGGATACAGTTAAGGAACAATGAAATAAATGCCCACGACAAATTAGATCACAACACAAAATATATGTAAACATGCTTAATGTGAAAGGTTAGGAAAAAAAATATGGTGAAGAAGAAACGCTGCTAAGAATACTTAGTGGAATTATTTAACTTCAGAGGAAATAAGCACAGAACAACTGCTACCTCGCTTGCTATTTTGGTTGCATATTTGACATGTAATAAGGATGGTGTAATCTCCAAGCCAGTAAGGTTTCTGCCCTTAATGGACTCTTCAAAGTCCTTCTTATATTCTTTCTAATGAGAGTAAGAAGAAAAAAAGCAAAACAGCAAATATTTATTACATTCTTTTTCATTCAATGAAAAACTACGGGGAGGATGGAGCAGTGGTTCTCTAGTAAATGTCAAAATGACCATCAGCTACAGCCAGTGCTGAGGGTACCTGAAGGAATAAATCCTGTTTCTACCAAAGCCCACGAAACACCTCATTACTTCCAATGGAAATACGACCTGACTGTGCCTTTTTTTTTTTTTCCCCCTACTTATTTGTATATGCAGAGAAAACATCTGATGGATTCACTCAAACACAACGACTAATGGCCTTATACAACTGTTTTTCAGCATGTATAAGTCTTCAGCTGTGACAGAACAAGGTTATACTTCAAACAAACAGAAAATAACTGCTTGAGGAAATAGAATGAGAGGTCAGTGAAGAACACTATGACAGTAGAGACAAACAGGAAATAAATGGGTTTCTCAAAAATAGAGTTCTGAGGTGAAAGGAATAGCCAGGATGCTTCCTGTGGATTATGGTAACCGACAGACATACTATCTCCTGTTGCAAGAGTTTAAGTGAAATGTATTTCATGTTCTCTTTCTTCTAAAGACTTGCTTCAGCTTCATCTACTGACAGCTTCTTGAGGAAAAGGTACGGATAATACACACCTCACTGTGACACAGGAATGCTTCATGAATTTTAAACGTAGTATTTCAAAACCAATATAAAGAAATGTGATATAGCTACAATTTTTCAGTCTATCAGCATGCACAAGATGCAAGTATAATTGCCTAAAACACTGTGAAAGTTTAACTGCAGAAAATAAATTTTAAGGTTTCTTTAGTCTGTCAGTATTGATTTTAACCCTACCTCGCTCTGCATGAGCTGAGACTCCTTTGCAGTAAGGTATGTTGGAGTTTCAAAGTCCAACATAGGTTTTCCTTTTTCCTTCTCATACTTTTCTCTGTATTTCACCTGGGAAGAAAAGAAAAAATTACTCTCCTAAATAATCAAAGAACCAATTCATTGACTAGTATGTGCCTACTTTGATCAACAGACCTCTGGTAACAAATGAATGTCTAATACTGTTTACCTTCCTGAAATCCATATTATTGACCACAAAATGAAAAATCCAAGGTCAGGCTTGCAGCAAAACGTGTGTGGCCTAAAATTCTACTGATTTATCTCCTGTTGCAGAGAATAAGCAGTGTCAGCTCAAATTTCAGGAAATTACTGATCACGAGAAGGAAGACAGGTATCTGTAAAAATCTGACTCGAAGGCACTCAGGGCATCAATTTTCAGGCTGCTGCACAAGGCAATGTTGTGTCTTTGGCTGAGACAGATCCTGATCTCAAACTGGAGCAACAAGTAGTGACTTAAACTAACTACAAACTGATTAACAACCATTTTTCTTATAGTTCTTTGCTGTGTAACCTTTCTGCTCTTCCATGCCATGCAGCAGAACAATAATTATGGCCTTTCTTGTTCTAGCAGCAGCAATTTCTCTCTTGCTTTATGGTCAACAAATATGTGGAATGGAACGTGGAACAGAGAGGATTAGAGACCAAATCAGAGGATTAATTTCTCTGAAATGATTCACCATTTGCTATATTCCAGAGGGAAAAAATGTCAGACACATTTAGCAGCAGTAGGTACAGTTTTGGTTAAAGGAATTTTGGATGCAGAATAAGAATGGCAGAGCTCTCCTTTGTATCACTTGAGGCTACATTGCGTAAAGCAGTTGAAAATATACTGTCAGCAATGACTCCACTTCTTTCAATTTCCAGTTTCTGTGATTACCAAGTCCTTTTTTTAATAAATAAAATCACCCTGATAAATGTATTATACTGTGTAAAAAGATCCAGATACAACAGGTAACTTTGAGATCCACTCTAGAATGAAGGAATCACACAGGTATTTTCTGTGTGTTCTGAACTCGCGAATGTGCAAATATTTCTCATTGACTTGTTTAGTCAGGTGTGCAGTGTTGTTTATAAATCAGATAAGCACAGAGACTGTTATATACTGCAGAATTTGCTAGGATGACCTCAGTGATGGAGACTGGTACTCAGTGAGTGGGGTTAAAGAGAAACACATGACCAACTTACGTGGCTCTGTAGTTCTGATGCCTCCCTTAGATGAACCTGTTCAAGATTATCTGGCACCACATGGTAGTGACCCTTACTCTTCTCATATTGCTTCTTGTACTGGTACTGAAGGGAAGGTGTCAAAAATCATCTCAATAAAAAAAAAATCCCTCAGCAAATTTACTTCTTAGGTCCAATCAAAGCAACACTTCAATGGAACATCAAAGAGAAATTAGAAATACAAAAAGCAAAACAAAAACAAGAAGCTTAACTGCCAGTATCAGATATCATTTCTAAAGATGTGAGTGAACAGTTATCTTTTTTGACCATTTTGACTGCAACAAAGATTTTTTCAAAACCAGGATTAAAAAAAAAAAAGAAAAAGAAAAATTAAAAGGAAAACACAATGAATACATGAAAAGACTGTAGCAGGCAATAATGATTTTTGTCTTTTCTCAGTAAAATTATCAAGTATTTTGTTAGGCATAATTCTGTACAATAGGGGGACGTTAAACATAAACAAGAAATAAAAAAAAACAGACAAAATTTTTTTTTAAAATACAGTGAGCAGTTAAGAAAAAGATAAAAAATAAAGAAGAAAATAGTATTTGTTAGTGTGATTCAATCAGTTAAAATGCAATAAAGACTGAATCCACTAAAAATTATTAGAGGATTCAAAATATTAGCAGTGCTACAGTTAATAAAGATTTCACTTCCCAGAGGACAAACGTGGCAAAGTTGCTAGTTACCTAGATGGTCATTAGAAAGTCGAGGAAGAGATCACTACCAGGTGATATCCCATGAACAATTACAGAGGGAGTAATTGTTATAGGAATAGTTAGCAGAGGTCAATTCAGAAGGGAATTGATAGTAATGGAAAAAATGAAATGGATCTGGGAGGAGTGAATGAGCTTACAGCGCTGGCCAGCTGGCTTGTGCTCAGGACATGGTTCATGATGAGCGACTCGGACATGTCCGTGACGGGCTTGTGAAGCTTCTTCAAATCCGCCTTGTACTTCACCTGCAGGTAAGAAAGGACAAGCAGCATCACAAAAGGAGACTGCTAATGAAACCTGTGATGTTGAATGTACTAATGACATAAAAGAGGCCTTTGTGAAAGAAATCTGAAATTTTTAATTTCCCTAGGGGAAAAGCATAAGTAAACATACCTCACTGGCCATGTTGTGAGCATCTTTCATGGTCTTGTAGATTTTAGCCTCCTTTAAATCATACTTTGGTTTTTTACCCTTCTCTTTGGAAAAGTTCTCCTTGTATTTCACCTAAATTATAAAACAACCAGGTATTACAATGGATTTTGAGTACTCAGTTGTTTGGCTGCAGAAGGCCAAGAGACCTTACTTCAGTGCTGAGGGTAAGCAGAAGAATGAAAATGTAGTAACTTGAAGGCTTCCACTGGAATAAAGGCTATTTTAAAGATGGAAACATGGAAAGAAAATCTAGATCTGTATTTACAAAACACCACTTGCAACTTTTCATTCAGTGCACAGATTGCATCTCCTCATTGTAAAAATAACAGACACAGTCAAGACAATTATGTGACAAAATACAGCTAAATTCTGACCCTTGGAGATGCAGAATTTTTCACTTGATGGAAAATGAGCATGGACAAAAGATGCCCTATTTGACAAAGAGACAAAAACTGACACAAGTATAAAGAGTACTTAAAAGAACTTTTTACGTACTTCTTGGAGAAATAAGAGCTTTAAAAACTATCTCAAGCCATACAAGCCCTGAAGATGGCAACATATCAAATATTTTTACATACACTGTTACACACATATTGTGTTCTCTATAAATCAGAGACGAAAAAAGATGTTAATGATTACAAACAGAACAGAGTTACAATTAATTACCAGGAATTAGACTACGCAAGAGGCTTAGTAACACTTCCAAACCACATCAGCATCAGCAAGGTAAACCACCACGATGTAAGCCACAATATTCCAGCAGACTCAGGCTGGAGGCACAGAAATGATAGGAATTAGAGTTTTGCTAATGAGTTAAAAGAGGGCAGCTCCTTCATCCATCATGACTTGTCCCATCCCACTGGTGCAGGTGCAGCTAAAGGCTCATTCCTCTCTATTTCTTGTAAACTTACAAAAGTGACGGTTCCATTAGGAACATTTTGGCTTTACTACTTTTTTAGCTACCAGAGGTACACAAAACTGTTTCAGAAGAGTTACTGAAGAGTGCAAGAAAAACTTAAAGATTAAGTTCTGCTTTATCTAAATGGATCCCATAATTAGTATGCACGTTCATCACCGTTACAGTAAACATCAGTAGAAAAATTCCCAGCGTTTGTCATATCGTCCCCGTAGTTGTATTCTGCTCGGTCAGGAAACAAGTGAGGCACCATTTCTTTCTGTTTATCAATCCACATTTCCTTGGAAATATTTTATACTAAATAAGCTATCAATCCCCATCCCTGGTCTAAAGAACAAGAACCGAACAGCTGTCATCAGTCTTTCTGAAAGAATTTTATCTTGTTCAGGACCAAGATAATACTTTAAAAAGCATGCAGAAAATGTAAGACTGTGGCCGATGAGCAAAAAAGATTAACGGTTCCTCAGAAAAACCCCTGATCTCTCAAAAAATATTTCTATGAAAATTGATATAAAATACTGAAGAACTGATAATTCAGTTGAGGAACAGCTGACTCATTCTAGAGGGTTTTTTATGACAATTACAGAAACGTAAACAGATAATTTTATATTAGTTAAAAAGAAAGATGACTGAATGCAGAATTAAATCCCATTCCCTAATCACATTTTACACTTGGAATTCATTGCCAGATTCTTGTCTATACAGCACCATATGGTTCCTGCTGGACACCACTGTTGCTCTTTTGCTTTGCAAAATGAGCCAACATTCAGATAAAACACACAGTGAAACAGGCAAATCCACGAGGTATATAGCTGCTGTAAGAAAGCAAAGAATATTAACATTTTTGACATAAAGAAATCAGTATTGGTTTTGACCTCACAAAAATTAAAATCAAGCAGAAGTATACTAGAATCTGTTAAGTTTTGCGAGCTGTGCAACATACGATGAAGATCAGACCATCATGCCAAAGAGTTCACTTTTTTTAAGCCCAGAAGAAAAGCTACTGGAAGATCTATGCAAAATGAAAAGCAAGCATGCCAGACAGGCAGATGAAATCCCACTCAAAAAACCCAAAGTGGATAAAGAAACTGGATACAATGCTTTACAAAGAAGAAGTTTATGAGAAGAAATGTCTATGAGAAAAAAAGAAGTTAAAGATTATGCCAATGTTCTTTGCTCCCTGACTGCCTCTACAATAGTTAATTTCTCCTCAGGATTAAAATAATCTAATCAAAGTATGTTTATAAGACTAATAAGACAACTGGTTGGCATTGGTGCAGGAGCATGGAAAAGGAGGATCTCATCACGGAACGGCAAGAAACATATTTTCTTCTTTTTCTTGTAGTTCAGTTGTTCAGTTTAAGAAACCTTGGTTCTACTGAAAAGATTCTTGTTTTTCCCGACAAACACAGCGGCTGACATCCAAACATGCGACAGTTACGTGCAACACTCACGGCTAGACACGGAAAAACCATAATCCCCCTTTTTTTTTCATTTGGAAATACATGTGCAAATACGAAATGGCACAGATCTGTCTGCTGCCACTTCAAAAATTGCTAAGCAGCCATCATTTTCCTATTTTCCAAAGCTTTTGAGATGGCAAGAAATATAAGAAACTAGGTGCCCTCAAACCACTATAGAGTACACATCTCAGGCTGATTCAGTAATACACTGTGCTTCCATTATGCCATTCCAGCACAGTGTAAACAGAATAGTTTAAATGCAGTTTAAACAGAAGTTGGAAGTTCGAATAGTTAAAATGAAGTCCTAGTGTGAATGTAACTCATATCGTACGACAGTTCACTGAAAATTACCATTTTTAGGGTTTGTTGTACAACACATTTCCATTTTTTGCACAGTTTCGGGAAAACCAGCTCAAGCTTATATGCCTGGTTTTAGGTTTTTGGGGTGAAAAAGGTGAGTTTTCACATTGCTTGAGTGCATTGGAAACTTCCGTTAAAGACACCGGAAGCTCAAAACCATTACGAAGGCCATAATAACATTTCAAGTTGCATGTGGTATTTCCCCACCCACAGAATTCCCATGCACTGTCTTTCCAGAGGAAAAAAAGGAGGTCATCTTTAACTGAGCAGTCCCACGAGTTTTGCTACATTCAACAACTTTGACACAAAAAGATCCAGTGCAACTGGTGCATCATAAACCTTTAACAGCTTGGAATTGTAAGATAATGTGCAAGCAAGAGATAGATGCAGAAAAACGGCATTCCCAGATGTGTCACTTCAAATTCTCTTACATGACTACTCAGCATATTAGCTTTCTTAAAGGTTCTCATCCATGGTGTATCATAGGATGCAGCTCCATGCCCTCTCATGTGTCGTTTGAGGTATTCTGCCTATAACGCGTAGCAAGAAAGCAAGATCAGAAATGCAAACAATTACAGGAACAAAGCATGAAGTGGTGAGAAAGAACCAAGTTGAACTGAGGTCCTGGTGGAAAAAATTATCACAGAAAATAGGATGTGCTTCAGATTAATCGGAGAACATGACCACTGTATGAAAGTAAGCAAGCTTCTGTTGATGTAGCGTATTAACTTCAAACTAGAAGATTCTTTTGAAGGCACAAAGTAGAAAGTAAGTGGTGGAAAGAACCTGAATGTCCATCTCATAAAGGATGGACAAGAGTCAGGTAAAAGGCTGCTTCTCTTAAAGCCTATACCCAGAAAAAGATTAAAAAAAAAAAAAAAAAAAGAGAACATGGTTAACACTTCAGCCTTAGTATTTAGAAGATTTTGTCATGGCATCATCATTTTAAGGAGATTCTATACCTCCCTTACTGACATTTAGTAAGTCAGTAGAAAAGTTGTTAAAAATCTCTAATGTAAGAGAATTACATTTGTATATAAGTGCCTATTTTAATTTATTTTTTTCAAAATATACCACACAAGTGAATAAGCAACATATTCGTGCCCATTGCACCAAGACAGGTACTAGAGTTTCTAGGATTTTTCAAAAAATTATTTCTAATTCTAACAATCCTTAAATTTTAGGCAAGCCTTTTTTGAAAACTATCAGCTTGCTTGTAGAGGTAATAATTGTCCTCAGTTTTAATCTTTAGGACATACAGGTTTGCCCAACCAAGCAACTGGGAACAAACAGCGTCTTGTCAGAAGGCCAGTTTCATTTTGTGCATACCAATGGTTTTCAGCATTTCACAGAATAAATATATAAATTTGTAAGTGATAAAGTTATTCAGGTACTTGTACACTTCTATGTTTTAAGTTTCCATATTCCATGAAAATTGGAAACTGGACATTGTAGAAGTAGAAATTATATTTTTAAGAACACAGAAACAGAAAAAGATTTTAGAGATGACAGAAGAATTAAAAGACAGTGAGTATTAGAAAAGAACACAAATAAAATTCAGAGGAACTAAACCTTCCACTTCTATGAATTCTCTCTCTACCCTGCAAAGAGGGCTCACTTCTGTTCCCACTGAAACCAGCACCTGGGCACAACTGCCTACCAGCCTAGTCTGTGGGACAGTGACTGACTAGTCTTTTGTGTGTTGCACGGCTATAAACGACTATAAGAAAGTGATGAATCACATCTGACATCACTATAAGCAGAATCAGACTCTCAATTCAATATTTATTTAACAAAGAAATACCCTGCATTGGGGTTTAATTTAAATTTAACATGTTCCCTTTAAAATATTCCCTTAACCCCTAATCTAGAAATAATTTCAGTTATAATCTTATAATTTCTCTGTAAATTAATATCATGTCTGATTTCCCTCACTGCTTTAAAGTTTCACGAACGTTTTATCATTACCTGGCTAGTTAGCTTGGACACCTCCTTGGCCAGTTCAATATCTGGGCGTCCCAGCATGGTTACGCCAATGCCCGCTTCTCCACGCTTTTTGTATTAAATCTAAAAAAAAAAAAAAAAAAAAAAGAGGAAAAGTATAATTCCTCTTTAATTATTTTACTGCTTGTTTTTAATAGTAAAATTACTGCTAAAGAATTATACAGAAGATTTAAAAAGCCACTTACATCACTAATTAACTTGGCAGCCTGAGTTGCTTTCTTAATATCCGGCCGATCGGCTATAGGCGTGTAGTGGAGCTTGGACTTGGCATCTTTCTTGTACTCAATCTAATCCGTGATGACAGACAGAGGAAAGAAAATTACTGAGGTTTCTGAATAAGGAATACACCTCAGGACACAGCAATGTTGCTGGGAAAGTGCACGGGATTTTTTTTTTTTAATAGTAGCACAAGGAATAGATTTGGGAATCTGGTTTCGCAAGTTGTCTGGAAAGGAAGAAATAAGCATGTGCAATTCCGGCTGTATTTGGAGGAATGAAAAAAATTGTCTAGATGTGATTTGCACTAGGTTACTTTAACTCCTACCACGTGATTATGCAGAAATATGATTTTCAAATAAATCCTTATTTCAGTGCAATTTCACATTTGTAAATACTTGCACCTTTATCTTTCAGAATTACACCTGAACATGGAAGCTGGGAGGAAATGCAGAAGTATGGGAACTTGCACTTTTGCCAGTTGACTTTGGTTGAATTTGCTTACACAAGCTATTTAATTCTTGAAAAGACACAACAAACTTACTGTACTCTGTTTTTTAGCAACTTCCATGGCATGTTTCACTTCAGGAGGCTCCAGCATGATGGAATAATTAGACTTGCCTTTCTCCTTCACAAACTTCTTTTTATAGTTTGTCTGTTAAGAGCAAAAAGGGCCATGTGTCATTTCTTAATTTCACATGGAGGTAAACGCTACTGAAACTTGGAAATAAGCTCACTGAAGCTGTTAAGAAGGATAAAATGCAGTCTCTTTGTTAACAAAGTCTCACTGTGATAGGACTTAATCTTTTCTGACTCCTTGGGCATTTTATGATGGGACTCTAAATTGTGTGTATACTAAAATGTGCAACAGTCTAATCGATTATAGGCAGCAGGTAGGAATCTCAGCAGAAATTGTCACCACACTAGTTACTTACCTCGCTGACATTCTTGGTCACCTCTTTCACATGAGCAGTGTCTCGTGTCTCTGGCAGGGTTGTGTAAGACCCATGTGGGAGCTGCTTCTTGCTATGTTCTTTGTATTTGTTCTGAAAGCACACAACAAAAATAGGTACAAAACAGCCGTGCAAGCCCCGCTCCTCCTCCACACACATTCAAAAGATGTACTTAAAATGAAAGAATAATTGGCAGATGTTTTACCTCAGATACAAGAGAGCTGACATTTTTAGCCAGGAGGATCTGAGGTGTATCTGGAACAACATGGTACGTTCCTCGAGCTTTGTTGTGCTTCTCTTTGTATTTTATCTAGCAGGAAGAAAATATATCGTTTTACGCAATGTGTATCTTGCCTCGTGGCAATTTAAAAATAAATTACCATAGTTGTGACTGTTTGTTAGTTTGCAGACAATATCATATTTTGATGTTTTTCAAAATAAATTCATTCCAGTCTATATATTCCTGTAGGTCTCACTCGGAATTTTATGAATATATTGTTGGCAATTATTAAAGATACTTTGTGTTACGTGAGAGTTGTAGCTGCAGGGTTGGTTTTTTGTGTGTGTTGTTTTCTCCACATAATATTTCCATTTCAATAAAGGGAATGCAGAGACATGCCAAAGGTCTGGGTGTTCAGGCAATGTTGGCTTTGAATATTTATTTAATCCATGAACTAGGCCAGCGACATTTACAAGACCAAATTTATTTATTTATTTATTCAGATTTTGCCAAATCGTTAATGAAACAAACAAGCCAAATCAAAACAATGAAGTGAGACTTGTCAAAGCTTCATTCTTATTCCAATCGTATTTCCAATAAAGTAGTTTATGTAGCAAGTAAAGTTTTAGTAGAATAAAAAAAGCAAGGGTTCAAGTACTTACGTCACTTGCCAAGATGGCATTATTTAAAGCCAATACTGTGTTTTTATCATCTGTGACAGAGAGTTTGCATCCCTTTAGGAATTCCCGGTCCAGCTTGTATTCATACTGCAGGAAGAAAAAATAAAAGGAAAGAGTCTCAAATCTTCTACAATTTATTATTTTTTCCTGAACACGAGAGGTGTGGGGAAAGGGAGTATTCAGTTTGTTCTGATTTTCTTACGTCGCTCTGTTGCAGAGACGACTTGGCTGCTTGAACAAAGTCAGGCCTATCAGCAATCCAGTGCCAATGAGCCTTTGCTGCTTCGTACTTCTTCTTATAATCCAGCTGTTTGTAGTGAAACAAGAAAAAAGAAGTTAATTGGAAGTTGTGTACTTTACACACGACATTCATACAGATGCAAATTCTCCTTCGGTCTGCACTGATTAAAGAGGGAAGAGGTAGGAAAGTGCATCTCCATTAGACTAGGGCTTTCCTTTGAATCATGTACGATCCAGTGGGAGTCTATGTACTTTAGTTTTTCCACTGCTGGGTGGAGAAAGGACTATGAACAACTGAAAAGATGCCATGACTTTGAAGAAGAAAGTGCTTTCAGTTCCTTGCCTAAGAAGTGGATGTTGGGCACCAATAACAGAAAACACAGGAGAGATTCCCTTGAAGCACTTACTTCGTCTATAAGAACATCATCACAGAGAATTTCTGGGACAGTTATGTCTCTGTGAGGAAAACAGAGGGAGACTAGAAGAACAGAAGATGTGTGACATAAAGGAACCTCAAATGACCTCAAGGGCAATTTGCAAGAGTGAGCACCTTGGTACAAAATCAATTAACATAGATTTTATTCAAGCAGCATACGAATTAGAAGTAACGTCCAAGCTCAAATAATTTCAATGGAACAGAAAATAATTTCTGATGGTCTTTCTTGCAAGTCCTAGACACTATTCATAATAAAATTAAACTATTAATAAAAGTGAACTCACATTGCTGTTCAGCTTGTAAGCATGCCTTGGGGTCTTAATATGAACTGAATCTGCTACGACATTGCAGTGAGATTTATTCCTCTCGTACACTTCCTTGTATTTCAGCTAGAGAAAGACAAACATAGAGGATGTTTAAAAAGATATCATCATCGACAAGAAAAGCATCAAAATATGAGGAATATAACATTAAAAATGGCTCCTGTCAAGATAAAATCTTAACAGAAGAAAAAGAAATTGTATTTGTGTAACTTGGTATGAATCATCTGCCTGAAAGGAGGGTCCCCTTTGGCAGAGAAACTGTAGCAGGTATAACTCATCATGAGGCACAGGCTAAGTAAGAGTTAACAAAATCTGTGCATGAACAGTAACTCTGCCTGTTTCTAGTTTTTTTACACCTAATAGAAATGTTTTAAAGAAACTAATCTCAAATTCAGCACTCAGTTTGGAACCAATAAAATGTACTTCAATTCACAGATGGCTTTTGAACATCTTTGCCTCTTAATGACCCCCCTTTAGTGTCTGGATAATATTGTCATTTTTTCCTCCTTGACTTATTCATTACATGTATAAAAATATATTTCTATATATATAATCATTACCCCATAAACAAAACACATACTTATTTTAGATCAGCATATTTACCTTAGATATTCACAAGATCCATAGAAGAAATTCATAAACACAGTGATGTATTAAATTAAATAAGAATAATTAAGATTATTCGAGGCTCCACGAAATAGAGGAAGAAAACTCAGAAGCAAACTCCCCAAATCCATGCATTAATTAGCTACCAGTTCCAGCTCACAGCTTTTACCACTAGTGAGGGCTGCTCTACCCCAGTAAAGATGTTCCGAGAAGCTATTTTTTAGTGACAGCGTTACACAGGAGTTCCAAATATCGCACAGAAAAGTTTACTTACATCACTTATCCTGTCCTTCACCTTGCGCACGTGCAGTAACATTGGGGTATCGTGGATTGTAGTATAGCCTTTAGGCTTCGCTTTGTTATATTCCAGCTTGTAAATAATCTGAAGATATAAATCACAGATCATATTAGTTCTTGACATTATTAGTGTCAATTGGAAAAAATCAAGATGAGAAATATTGTATAATCATAGAATCATAGAACGGTTTGGGTTGGAAGGGACCTCAAAGATCATCCAGTTCCAACCCCCCTGCCATGGGCAGGGACACCTTCCACTACTCAAGGCTGCTCAAAGACTCCAAATAAGTAGTCCAAATAATGGACTACTGAAAATGTCATATTCTTAATAACCACACCCCAAAGGTCAGAACTCAGGGCAGGATGTATGCTCGAAAGGCGCTGGTTACACTTACATCACTGATCTGCTTGTTGACTTTCGTAGTCCTTAAGTGTTCTGGAGTATCCACAACTGTGGTATACTTGTCTTTCTTCTTTTCATATTCTTTTTTGTATTCAACCTGGTGATTGGGAAAGAGCCTATGAACCACACAAACCAAGACAAAACTTTTGCAGAAGATACGTTTATATTCACACAAAAAATTGCAAAATCCTTCCACCAAAGCCAATGAAAGTTGAACATGCACAAGGAGCTCAGCTTTGCAAACCCTTTACTTGCCTGAGGCTGCCTATCTATTTCTGTGATTAATTTTATATTTATTTCACTGACTTTAAAAGCTTCACTTCTATCTTAAATCTCCAAGATTGAGCTAAAAAAAGCGATCTCGGTGGATCAGTTACTTTTAAAATTCATAACCGGACACTATTTCATTTTAAAACATTCACCAGAATGAAGAGAAATGTAAAACATCTTACATAGTAGAAAAACATCCACTAAATATATCATAATGCCATACTATTTTAAAGGTTTTGATAGCAAAATTTGTATCTTGATAATTTCTTTCATAAAGATCATCTTGTCCTACTCAGGACTCTAAATTTCACAGAATTCAGTGAGAACAGACTGTACACCAAGAAAGATAATTCATTGTAGATGGCCTGAGGGCAGGTGGAAAAGTTCAGAACACATTTTTAAAAAAGAACTCTCATGCTCTGTTTTGCATCAGAAAACAAAACCATGCTTTCGAAACAGGACTAGGATGACAAAATATAAAAAATTGTATACAAACAACAGATCAAAACATGAAGTCAACTCAGATGAACATGCAGGTCAGGCAGAGTGCAATTTTTTTTTTTTTTTCAAACATACTCAAACTCACCTGCAAGGAGTTTTCATGAGATAATAGAAATCCATGGATAAATTGAACAAAAATGCCTAGTAACGACCTTCGGTATCTTATTACTGAAGAGTTTTATTAACTGTGCTAATAGTAATAAAGAAGAACATCTCCCTCCTTCCCCTGTAATTGTTTTCTATCGTTGTATTTCCAGATTATAATTTATATGTTATATGCCAATCAGGAATCATTTTTGCTGTTGAAAAGAATAAGGTTACTGCTGGCCACTGTGACTTCACAGCAGATATAAATACGCGTCAGTTATGAGCCACATTTTCATCCCACCTGTACAACCAAAATATATACACAGGAATCCAGATTAAATGAAGGTAGAATATGGAAAATTAAACATTAGAGTCATTACAAGCTTTCTTTTATACCATCAGAAATATAACTATGTTATGTTCTTTGTTCTGTATGAACAAATAGATGAATCACATTCATTTTCTACCTTCTGATTCTTATTAGAACTGGCAAGAGGAATTTTTTTTTTTAAATAAACTGTATTATGTGACTGCATAAGGACTGCTTTGCTAGCCTTGCTTAAAAGAAGTATGTAGAGAAAGAAATTGATGAAAACATGATTTATGACAGGCTTGTGCACCTGTACCATGTCTAAGGGCACTTAGAAGGGAGACATGAGACTGTTCTGTATCCAGGCACAATCTGACACGGCTCTCAGGCAGAGTGGTACGTAAATGTTGTAACCTACTGGCCAAATCAACTCATCATGTTCATGTTGAATTAAGGGACTTGTGTTATGAGGGGTGACCAGTCCAAGAAATGGTGGCAGAATGAGAATTTGGTTAGGAAAATATCAGGAACGGCTAACATACAATATCTTAAACATACGGAAAATTGCTCTTTATGTAAGTATGTGAAATATTACATAGAAGTAGATATAACAATTATTTATAATGAAAGGAGAAAACGAAGGCAAGATCAGCCTAAGCTGAGTGAAGTCCAAGTGATAGTAAATATTGTTTCAGCTATTCTGTTTTCGAAAATATTTCATCATAGCCAGCATTAAGCACATTGGCAGAACTCTGGAGTCTGATATCCACAGAAATGTAGAGAACTTCCAAGCATTAAATATTAGAAGTCTAAGCAGCTAATTTGTATACATAATGTCTCCTACAGCAGCAGTTCTTCATATTACCTGGCTCCATAAGTATGTGTTGTAGAGTGCTGTCAGCATATCTGGCCTCAGAATTTCATTACATCCATGTTGCAGCAGCATCTTGGCAAAGGACTTATATTTTTTCTGTTCATGCAAATGGCAACGAAGCACAAAAGAGACTTGTGAACACCATAAACAACACCACAGCTCTAGATCCCAGACACTTTGAGAGTGGAGAGATTTAGGCAAGGTACTGTATGTATTCATTAGATGTGCATACAACTTACATCTATATCATTAAGAACGTCAGAAGTATGTATCAAAAGATTTGTATACTATCCCATTAATGAAATTGCAAAAATATTTTGGGGGAGATAAGAGTAAATTATAGATTAAGGTGAGGGCACTCAAAATATGTCACTGTTGTTTTATCTAGAAATAGTAAGAAGGTAATGTTTGTAAAAGTCATTAAAAGAGAGGTAATAAAAAATAAATGCGTGCTACAACATGCTTTTTTTAAAACCTCTCCAATGACTTCAAGGGGCTTTAGATTTCTGATGTCAATTGATGCACAATATATGAAAGTACATACAGCAGAGATTAGCTCACTCAAAAAGTAATAACTCTTTTTGAGTGTCTCATCAACTGAACTAAAACATCACGACATCACAGGTGAAACCTGTGATACTGCCAGCTGGAGACATTCCACACAGACAGCGTAACTGGGAGTGAATCAGGCACTTTCTGGCAGCACGGGCTAGTGCTCCAACAGTACCTGACTGCTCAGTGTGGTCCCCCACTTGGCCAGGAGGTTCCTGGGATCATCCACAATAACGCTGTACCTATCTTTGAGCTTCTCATAGGCAGCTTTATATAATTTCTGCTCAGAATAGCATAATACAGTGTAACAAATTAAAAGAGAGGGAAGACACAATGAGATCACAGTTCTAACCATTGAAACCTCTTTACATGGACTATATAAAGGCTGGGATTGAAGTTCATATCCAAAAGAGAAAAATACATTTGAAAAAAAACACAGAGAAAATATTTCCAAATAGTATATGCATTTCTAAATTTCCACTGGAAGACCTAATCTGCATTATAAAGATGCCTGTATTCTATTCCTGCCACTCTTCAAGAAGCCATTTTTTGACTTACTTTCTTCATGAAAACGAACTGCAGAAGCAACTCTGTATGGAACTAGATTCTTGATTTGAGTACAAAGAGGACACAATGAGATGCACGGGTAAAATACAATGTTATATTATCATCAGACATTTTTAAGTAAAAACTATAATCCTGCATCACAAAAAACATAACTTATATAACAGAAGGCATTTAGGCAAGTTCATTTCAATGCATGGAGCCCCTGTTGCTAAAATTTTACTCATTTATATTTATCATATGAAATTTTTTCTTATTTGTTCTACTGAACAATAAGAAAACTGAATACTAAAAATCTTCCATAACATATTCTGGTTCACTGCTTATGAAATTGAGTATGAGATGATAGCAATGGTATTGGAATGGTATGTGTTGAGAAACAGTTTTTCTTACCTGGAACAGATAATACCGCAATACATTTACTGACAGGTAAACAATTTAATATAATGTCTGGTGAAAAAAGATGTGAGAATCGAAATGTACACTGTTTTCGTGAAAAGCATCAGAGTCTGGTCTGGTATGCCAACTCTAAGCTGATGAGAATTCACCTTGAACATGCTTTTCAATGGGCTTTGTCCTGTGGATGTACAGCACCACTCCTAGAAACTCCTTTGATGATTTTAATCTTAAACCTGGAGACATTCGTTAACCCCTTTGCTAATGTGTTTATTATTTCCTTAGCACTACAGGAGAAAAGTAAGAACATGTAAGTAGCAGACTGGGAGAACTGAAGGCAAAATACCTGAAAGGAAACAGAGCTATGGTAACGTGGACATAACACTATCTTCATAGCACTGATGAAGTTTTTTTCCAGTGTTTCAGGAAAGAAACTGTGATTCTCTCTCTCCCTTTTTCACATGACAACCAACAATCAGTGGGACTAAGCAAGCAGCATTATTTAAACTAGCATTTAATTACCAGTCAGTAAAGAAGTTTCTTTGCAATGACAAAGTAATGGAACAGGGGTCAGGATTTCACATTTTAGGTACTGTAAACCTGCCCTGTCCTAATACTCAGACAACAGGAACAACGTTGTCTTTCATTATCTCAGTCTGATCTTAAGACTTCTTTAAGCCTGAATATATTTTGATTTATTAACAATTTCGTAAGTAAAATCAACCTTCAACTCTGTATTAAGATACACACACTTACTACTTCAGTATGAGATTCTGCAGAAATCTTTAGCACTTACCCCATCCATCAACTGAGTTGCATGTTTAAAATGCTTGTTAATTGGAGAGTCGGCTACGTACTTAAATTGAGATTTAGTCTTCTCAAATATCTCCTTGTACTTACACTGGAGGAAAAAAACACACACAAAAAATTCCAATGTTAACGCAAAGAAGGGTAAGGTGATGAAAACATAAGATTTTAGGAACAATCTGCAGCAAAACCATGGTAGAATAATATTGCGTATGTGCATTTAACATACCTGCAAACAACAAAAAAATAGTTGTAAATGCAGCAGTTTGCAGGATGGAGCTATCACCTCAAGAAAGCAATAGAAATTTTGACTCTTCGTAATTGGAAAGCTAGACTTTGAACCTCTAGAAAAATTTCTAAGGAGCTGATAGCTTTGCAAGAAACAGATAAGTAAAAGATCATTTTGCCTCTGTTTTCTTCTGCAGTAAGAACTGAATTTTGAGAGGCTATATATTAAGTTCTACCATGAGTTATTCATATCAGTGCCTAGGTCAGAATTGGATTCTCCTGCGGAAAATTTATCTACAATATAGCAAACATCAAAAAACATTTAGCAACAATTCGGTCTGTTTTACTTACCCCACTGTAGAGCACCTTATTCTTTTCTGCCAGAGCAAAACTTGGAGTATCCCATGCATAACAGCCAATGCCTCTGAGCCATGATAAGTCTTCCTTGTATTTAACCTTTAGGAAAGAAGTAAAAGGATTCAGTTTTATGCAGCACCAAGTGGTAGCTGACCAATGCTGAAGTGGCACCTCAACATAAGGAGTGGCAAACAGAGCTACATCTGTTATTATTCCATTATAAAATAAGTTACAGCTACTCATATTTTCTCATGGGCTCAGATTATTCACATACCTAATTTATCATTGGCTATTGCAGTTCTTGTGTGAATTAAAAAACACCTATTCTTGTATAATTCAGGGGTTATTCTGTATGTACAGATATGTACAACTAAAGGTTGTTGTAGGGTTAACAAACAAATCGCAGCAAGTGCACCTGAAATGAGCACTGTTCTGTTCATTTCAAAAGGAGCTGGGCTGCAGTTTTAGCTATCTGTTTTGCTCCATCACTTCACAGATCTGCCAGGTGAAAGCGTAAATCACTTTAAAAATTTCAGCTGCCTTCCTTTTCTCAAGAAGTTAGATTTGGTTTTCATTTTGGAAACCTACTTACAACTTAACCTCTCACATCCAGGAACTATTTGAACTCACATCACTAACAGCATCCGTGACTGCGCGATGATGGAAATGCTCCGGACGGTCTGGGATCGATCTCCAGATTCCTAACTGGCTCATATAATTTTCCTTATATTTCACCTACAAAGAAAATTGAAGAATGAAGTAAAATAATCTGAGAAGGGAAAAGTCCAGACCATGCACATTCAAGACATTCCTTTTTCTGTAACATTAGAATTAAAACAATGGAAATGAGATTTACTTGCATTCACCTTTGTAACACCAAAGGCAAACAAGTGTATAATCTTCCAGAGAAGGACAGAAGTTAATATTAGTAGTGCTGATTATATTTATTTCTAATTATTTGATGCATCTAAACAGAGCCGTAGTATAAATGGCATATATTCCAGTACTTAAAGGGGGTCTAAAGGAAAGCTGGAGAGGGACTTTTTACAAGGGTGTGTAGTGACAGGACAAGGGTCAATGGCTTTAAATTGAAAGAGGGCAGATTTAGATTGGATATAAGGAAGAAATTCTTCCCTCTGAGGGTGGTGAGGTACTGCAACAGGTTGCCCGGAGAAGTTGTAGCTGCCCCATCCCTGGCAGTGTTCAAGGCCAGGCTGGATGGGGCTTTGGGCAACCTGGTGTAGTGGAGGGTGTCCCTGCCCATGGCAGGGGGGGTGGAACTGGATGGTCTTTGAGGTCCCTTCCAACCCAAACCATTCTGTGATTCTATGATTCCATGATTCTATCCTAGGTTATTCAGTAACAAACACTGGTTAGGAATGCCAATGTGTACATACACTGCTAATATCATCGGTGACCTTTCGGTGATAGACAATATCCAAAGCATCTTTCACTGTGTGGTATTTGCCCTTCGTATTCTCAAAGGTTTCTTTGTAGCGTAACTGGGAAGAAAATGAAAAAAAAGAAAAATAATAAAATAAAAAAGAAAAATAATAAAAGAATATAGTGAATTTATCTGTCAGGGATCGCTTCAGTTAAATTTCCTGCCTCTTAGGAATGACAGCCAGGGATATGTTGCTGTCCAACGTCCTAATGTAAGCCCTGAGGAATTTTAAGAAGCTGCATTTGCCTAAAACCAATCACAATTTGACTGAGGCTTATGGTGAAAATTAGAGAGAAAAGGAGTTGGTACATCTAAAGCAACATTTCAGCTTATTCACTTTCAGACTGAAGACAGAGGTAAAAACATCTATGTATCACAGGACTACTCCCTAGAACAGCAAAAGTGCAGCTTCTGACATAAAAAAACCTACTTATCCCTTCTTCCATGTCCTAATCTAGAAGAAAGCAGGAAGATCATTCCAGTCTTAGGAGAGAGACTTTCTCAGAGGAGAAATTCAGATGTGCAAAAGAACTGGGATGCTCCCTTGCAGTATTTATAAATGGTTCTGAAGACAGCAGTAAGACTAATCATTAGAGCAAAACACCAGCCAGCACATCCTGTTTCAGGATACAACGTGCAATCTGAAACAGAGCAACGATCTCCCAAATGAGCAGAGTACTCTTAGCCATTGCCTTAAGTCACAAATCAGTATTCCACACTTGGAGGAAAAATCTATTTCACCTTAATAACCTTATGTGCAGCAGCTCAGATGATTTTTCTCTCTAATCTACTTCTAAATTAAAAAATTAGCACATTCTCAGTGATACCCAATTTTACTTCTCACATAAAACTGAGATGAAATATCCTATCCTGGCTCCAGCACCAACCATTTCCCTCCAGTCTGCACTATTTGGAGATTTCATGGGTAAGCAAATTACTTTAAATCTATTTTTTCTTTGTTGTAAGACCACACTTCAGTGCAACGGAAGATGAAAATGAATTACAATAAATGAAAAAACAGCATTACAGTGACACCAAGTAAAAACTTAATAATCTCCCTAATAACAAATGGAAATAGACATGCAAATGGGGTGACCTAGTGTATGACCCACACTGAGATATTCTATGCTCTGCGTGTTTGTTCCCCATTGATCCTTTTCCTCTTCTTTTTGCAAAGAAACCAATAAAAAGTAGCAGTGAAAGTGTTCATGGACTACATACATCACTGGCATTCAGGTATGCTCTCTTGGCTCTGATCAAGATCGGTGTGTCAGGGACAGGTGTGTATTTGTCCTTCATCTTCTCATACTGGGTTTTATATTTTTTCTAAGAGAGAAAGCAAAAGGGAAAATTTACATCTTTAGTCCTAAAGGCATTTGCCAATCTGGTATTATGTAAATGCCCAAGGCTGCTACACCGAGTGCATAAAGTCATTCTTGCAAAGTGCTTCTGTCAAAACTTTGAGAAACAAGCTCAGCTGTTCAGCTCTTTCTAGTCTTCCTTTTCTTGCAGCCAACGTACTTCAGATTCTGCAAACGAGCACTTAGAAAGAGGTATCTTATAAAATACTAAAGCATATTAAAAAAAAATGTACTCTTTTACAACAACTTATAAAGGAAATGTGGAACTTAAGCATAAGAGACAGAAAAGTAAATTAAGAGTAAACAGATTTGAGTCTTGAAACGGTCATTAAAATTAGAAATGAAACTTCTAAACAGTTCAGCATAGTAGTACCAAGCAAAAAAACTAAAATATCTTACCTCACTGACCATGTCCTTCACGTGCCTAGCATGTGTAAAGGCTGGAGTCTGACCACCAGCATGATGATGGGGTCTTTCTTTTGTGGCAAGTTCCACATACAAGTACTGCAGCAAGAAGAAAAGAATCAAAAAATATACATTGCAAGGAAGTTTTACTTTATCTATCTGAAAAATGACTAATTCCACAATGTGTACATAATCACACAATTTACCCCAGGAAAAAATAACGTGCCCTTTCCTCTTCCGTACTATCTCAGTACTCCTGATAACCTGTAACTGCCAGTAACATGCTCACAAACCAAGAAATCAAATGCATGTGACATTAATGATCTTTCTGTCCTACATCCAGACCTGGCTTTAAGATAAAAGCATCCATAAGGTCTGGTTTTCTCTGGTGCATATCTTCATTCTGTTCTGCAAATTGAAAAATTCCGCAAAATTTGCAGCTAGTAACTCAGATAATGAACTACTATATGAATAAAGAAATGATGATGAGTAAAGGTAGATGGATGAAAATATTTATCCCTCTGATGAAGTCGGAGTTTCAGGGAATCTGAACAGAACTGTACCAGGGTTCAATGCTCTATTTCAGATGGACGAAGCCAAACATGTCCATTAGAGATAGGGTCAACATGAAAACTCATAGCCACTTAAAAATGAGCAACAGTTATTTAGCCTGGAAAGATTTTGCTGTACTTTAAGTGCACATTAAGAGAGATCCTCTGATCGTTTTTTTTTTTCTCAGTAAAAATTTTTCACCTGGCTCTGTATTTTTTGTCCTTGCTTGGCTCTTAAGAAGTCAGGTGTGTCAAGGACGGAAGTGTATTTTGTCTTCAGCTCCTTGCCTGCAGCTCTGTAAACCAGCTGGAAAAGGACAAGTCCATGAATTATTCCTTCTGAACAATCACAGCTTTGCAATTATAACATCTCACGTATTTCAGAAAAAGCAGTGACAAGGCCTAAGCTTAGCTACAGCTAATAAAGATGTGCAAAAATAATAAAAAACTTACTTCACTCAAATGGGTTTTTAGTTCCTGAACCGTTCTGTATCCAGGAGTATCCAACACCACATTGTATTTAGCCCACATCTTCTTTGCAGTATCAGTGTATACATAATTAGACTGAAAAAGAAAAGCAGTATCACTTAGGAAGCTTTGAATTTAATTTTAATTTTACAGTGTAATCTAACAGTACTTTGAAACAACTAACTAGCTGCATGGCAAGAAACTCAGTCTTAAGTCTGTTCATTTTCACGTACTGAACTTGCTGGAAGTACATAGCCTGCATGTAAACACATCAATCGTTGTTACACATGGTTCTCAGAAGAAAAACCTTACCCAAAGCTTACGCAGATGACGAGCACGGACCATATCAGGAGTATCATACAGGAAGCAACCCAAGCCCTTCAGCCACTTCAGATCCTCTTTGTACTTATTCTGTGAGGAAATTCGAAAAAGAAAAATCAAAATGTAACTTTTGGGATAATTTCATTAAGCAGTTCCTAAACACAGTCACCAAGCATTTCTCTATCACAGAATAGAAAGCAAATGATAGATAGAAGACAAATTCCACATTCAGTAGAAAAGTATTATGCCTGTTGTATTCAAACAGCAAGTATCTTAACAGAAGTTGCTTACATCACTTGTGATGTCCTCAACATAGCGGCAGTGCAACACCTGAGGAGTGTATGGCAAGGAAATCAAGTGTCCCTGCATCTTAAAGAAATCTGACTTGTAGATCAGCTGAAAGACAAAGAGAAAGTAGCACCTCACATGTCTGGTCATGCTGAATATTCTAAATCTCTTCTATTTTTTATCTTAGAAAGACACATACATCACTGACAGCTTCCTGTGTTGCTCTGACTTGACGGATTTCTGGTGTGTCTGGAGTGGTATGAATCTTGTCCTTGTACTTGTGGTATGTTGCCCGATACAACCTCTGCATCAAAGGAGACAGCATTCTACATGTTAAAAACGTCAAATGGCAAGCAGTTTGGCAGGGTCTAAGTACTTCTCTTTTATGGGTCATTTTCTTGTTAGGTATTGCATCACTACCAGAGAAAAGGGAGAAATCATACTACTTTCTAACTAGGCAAGGATTTTCCACAATTGTTTTTGATAGCAGCATCTCTAATACATGGACAATCTGAGATTCTAATCCTACAAAGAGGTAAATACATACGTTTAATTTTCATTCTGTTAAAGCCAATGACTAAAGAAGTGGGTACACACGTATAAAAACTAAAACTATCGAGACCCGATGTCATACAGATACAATAATGTCTATGCAACTTTAATCAAGCAGCAGCAGGTTGATTAATAAAACTAGGCTGCAATTGATTTTATATTTTGGTAACAGATTTAAAGGATTACAAAAAGTTAGTGTTATCAAGAACCTTAAAAACCCATACAGCTCACCTCCAAGCCTGGATCAAAGACCCCTTACCATTCTTGATGGATATTTGTCTAAATTGCTCTTCAAAGCCTCCAAGAACAAGGATCCTACAACCTTCCTAGTCAATGTACTCTCACAATTCTGATTTTGGCCACTATAATTACAATTGAAAGCAAATATATTTTTACTGTACCTCATTAATGACTTGATTCACTTTCTTCACATTTTCAAACCCAACATCTTTAGGTCCCAGAGTATAGCCTTTAGCTTTCATGTGTTCATAGGCTTCTTTATACTTCAGCTATAAAGTGGAAAAAGGAACAAAAACATACAGAAACTAAATTTGATTGTGATTCTACTTACACTGCAGTTCTGACAGTAATTTATGCAGTATAAAGAGCCAGATTTTTAGAGACAAACAAGTGAGACTTAGCTATATCAGTTAAACACAGATCATCATTATTTTTACGTCTATCATGTGGCCCAAGTTTTAAATCTCTCTTGCACCTAATAAGGTATTTGCATCTGACTGAGGAAATTCATATTTTGATAGTAATTGCTTCAGATAATTATTGGGTCTGGTAACATTTAAATTCTGTTTAGGCAAACAATCTCAATGTTGGGACTTGAGTGCACTGGTAAGATTTAGTTGCCCTCACTAGCCACACCTGGGACGTCAGGCCTTGCCTGAGCTATGTTGTAAGTGCACTTGTCTTCAGCCCTATCTCCATCCTCAGTTCCTGGAGGGACATTGGTCCTGTGTTATAGGTAACAAGATGTCTCTAGCCCTGTCTCCTGGATTTACCTCGGACCTATCTTATAGGTAGCTTGTCTCCAATCTCTGCTTTGTTTCCTGCAGGTCCTGACTGGATCCCCCCTGGGTGGACCTTGGCTCTGGTTCCTCACCTTGTCTGGGATTGCTGATGCAATCTGTTATCAGCCCCCTACTCTGCCCATCCCATTCAGGTACAGTGGGACTTCACTCTGGATGATGAGGCCACTGCCTATGTCGTGGTCACCCTCAGTTCCTGGCTCAGGTATCCACACCGAACTACCACACTCGTTGCTCTCTGACAAGGAATCTCGTATCTGAGAAATAGCTGTCTCAAACCGTTGTGTGCTTATACAGGATGGTCATCAAATATTTCTTTGCAGCTCATGTTGTAGAAGGACTCAGTGCATTACTTACATCACTGCCAATGTATTGGACATGTTTAGCATGCTGGAAGTTGGGGGTGTCTGTGGGAAGGCTGTACCCAGTAGGCAGAGCTTTCACACCAGCCCAGCGATACAAATTCTGCAAGAGAAGAGAGAAAGAGTGAGTTTGTGACAGCTGTGTGTAATATTTGAGAGTACTCCTTAGCTGCACAGGACATCTCAATCACAATTGGCAAAAGATTTCCCCCCTCTCTGCATTATAATGCAGACTTGTGGCTTAAACGAGGACGTTTTCCCACTTCCATTTTAGAGCAGTGAAATCTAGTTTCTTCATCTGAAAAGCTACAGACAGACATTAACTTTTAAAGAATTTGCTTTCTGAATGGACCCAAAAGTTTTATACTTACTTCACTCTGTATTTTGTTTGCATGATATGCCCGCTCCAAATCTACTGTTTTATCAGTAGGAATCATTTTGCCTTTAACATTGTGCTTATATTCACCACGATAGACAGCCTGAGAAAAAGATAAAGTAATTAGAGGAGAGTTGTAACTGTGATGTTCTCTCACAGTGTACACTGTTTCCATATATGTGGAAATTTCTCCTAAAAAATTGGATGACAGTTTTTTTGACTCAGTCAGTTAATGATTTTAGCAATTGTGTTCTAATATCTCAATAAAGGCATAGACAATGATTTCTAGACAACCAGCAATGATTAAAATGAAATTATTAAAAAAAATATTAAAAGTCACATTTCTAGAACTTGTGGAGTAATGGCATGTGCAATATCGGGGGTGAAAGGTTATACAAACACTTACTTCACTTAAATTCAAGCCACTGAGGACATTCTGGACATAGACAGGAGTATCCATGACAACAGTGTAGTCATTCTTCATTTTTTCTGCCTTAGATTTGTACTTAATCTGCAGAGAAAAATTCAAGAGCTCTAATTAGTAAGGGTAGTCATTGTTAATTAAATTTATTATATTATTATATTTACTATATTTACTCTTCATTTTATTACTTAACTATTCTATTAGTGGACCAGTATTTAAAAAGAAGGTGTATTGAAATTATGGCTGAGTTAATGAACATGACACTTTATTAGATAAGAACAGCTGATATGTCACACCAAGGAACATTAGGAAATGTCAATCTCATTCATAGAATAGGCATATGTACCACATGATAAATATCCAACATACTTCTGATACAGAACTTATGAGAGGACAGACATTCTCAAAAAACAGAAAAGTTTTCTTCCCATTTTAATGGCTGAATCCTAAACTGAGGATGTGTCATAAGATCTTGAGAGGAAAAAAAGAAAATCAACATCAAAATACTTCTTTAAAATATGAATTAGACATCATTTCTGCTTTACCTCAAGAGTTCTGAAGGAAGAATTACTGTTTTCAAGTGCATTTCTGAGAAGGCATGTATTTACACGTATGCTTAATGCTTTCCTGAATGGGATGTAATCTGACCATAACGATATATGAAGACTTCAGCAGAGGACATATAATTTTTCCAGATTACATCTGGAGCAGAATAAAGCTACTCCATCTTTTTAACACAATGGAGTGAAAAACACTAAGAAGCAGAACCAACGAATCCACTCACATCACTGCGAAGATCGTAGGCATGTTTGGCATGGAGAATTTCTGGAGTGTCCCAAACAAAGCAGCCAATGCCTTTCAGCCAGTTAAGATCATCCTTGTACACCACCTAAGGTATGAGAGCAAAGAGGCAAACTGTAGGATTTCCACTGGGACCTCTTATCTCATTGCTAAGTCAGTCTGAAACACTCAAACGACGGCAAGTAAGGTTCCCAGTAGTTTTACTGGTTTTTTTCTTAGAGAAAATAAAATAAATAATAATAATATTGACCAATAATTAATTAAAAAAACCCAAATATTTTTAAAAATAATAAATAATAATAATATTGACCAATAATTAATAAAAAAACGCAAAATATTTTTAAAAATGCTATTTGTATATCCTACTGGGCAATGATTTATTGACAGATTGCTGGCCTGCTCCTGGGCTGACCTATGCAAGGCAAGCGTGCAGAAGCTTCACACCACCAGGAATTTCTCAGACTTCCAAAGTTTCCACAGCTTATATAACAAATAATAAAGGACGATTTACAAAGAGGGATGGTTGAACTAGAACTGCAATGTTCTGCCCTAATGTCTACACTGATAACACTGAAATTATGCACATTAAGGCACATCTCAACCACACACTTATTGCCAAGTGTTACAAAAACATGACACAGATGCTGTCGAGCAGTGCATAACACAACAGATTCAAGTGGCAACTTCGGAGTGCTCCAACTCGGTGTTCACTGAAACATTTCCTCAGACAGAGCATAAATGCAAGAACCTTTTTTAAAACTGTGCCACGAGCTCATGATTTGTGAACTTACGTCGCTGAGCTGATCAGTTACTTTTCGAACATGGGCATTGATTTGCAGATCTGGCAGACAGATCCATTCATGGAGATGTGTGCGGTAATCAACTTCACTGATTTTCTTCTGCGCGTCCTTGGCAGAAATTATGTCCACCATGTCTGGAATAATGTGGACTTTAGCTTTATTCTTTTCATAGACTTCCTTGTACAGACGCTGCGGAGTTAAAGCAGTACATTAATAATGCTGACAAATAGTCTGAAGCATTAACTGTGGACAAATTTGAAGAAAAATGATTTATATTTTCATGGAATGCTAGTGGGAGAGCAATCACTTTGGCTTTGACTAAAACGTCCATCTTGCCTGCTCTAAAAATAATTTGCAACAAGGGTGATAAACTATGATTTATCAAATTTTCATTGTACTCACATGTTAAAAGGAGGTGCACTATGCAGTGCCTGGTTTTATGTGCAAACATGATATACTAAAGGTTTAGCCTTGCAGGCAATTTAACAGCTGAGTCACAAGCTTGAAAAGATACTCATAGGCGTGTTACAGAATTTAGCAAATACTGACCACTGCCAAATGCATGTGGAAATGGGATTTCTGAATGGAGGCACGTGGATTCTTTGAGTGGCCTCCTCTGAGATAAGTCTGGTTTTATCAGGAAAACACACATCAGAAAACAACACTTACATCAATATTAAGCTTTCCAACTCTAAGGCACCTCGCTGTGTTGGGATCATCCTCAACGCCTCTGGGTAGTGTGTACAGTGCTTTAAACTTGTCATATTCTTCTCGGTATTTTACCTAAGCAGATGCAAAGAAAGGCAACAAATAACTGGCTTCAATGAGTCAACTGTATTTTTGGAACAAAACTCATCAGTAAGCAAAAGATTTAGTTGAGTCCAAGCAGCAGAGAAAGCTTTTAAAGTAGGATCTTGGTTTTCTATTTTATTTTAAATGGCAAAGCAAGCTCATCATAGCTATCATGTAAAAACAACAACAGCTGACTAGAAGACTTTAAAAGTAAATGGATGTAGAATAAGCTATTTATTTATTGTTCCAGTTCTTCCATTTAAGGTATCCATGGAGAGAATGAGCACTTATAAGCCTCAGTTCAGTAAAGCATAAGATTATGTTCTTCTACACTTGGTAAAGCATCATTTAAAGACATTTGGTGTTTTTCTGACCTGGATGGTTATGCAATTTAGACTAAAAAAACCTAACTAGACATTTTCAAGAAACAGTTTCTATTACTATAAAATGTGACATTTTTTTTCCATTAAAAAAAAGCAGCAGAGGACTGTTATCCAAATGATTATCACAGAAAATTGATTATCCACAGATACATATTACATCTAAATTAAAAATAGAAGATAATTTAAAAACAATCTTTTTATACCTATAGTGTATGCAAGGCATGAAGGATTTCATTGCTAGAATTGATGATCTGAGTATAAAAAAAAAAAAAGTATTTTATTCACTTACAGTACTAGCGTTATGCTTCAGTTCCTTTGCCCGTGCTAGGGATACAGCATCAGAGGGCATTATATAGCCAGTAGCTTTCACTTTATCCCAGGCTTCCTTGTAGAGATTCTATGGGAAAAAGAAAGTTTTTGTGAGTGGAAAAATTCTTCTCATGGGTAATAACCAAGGACCAATAGAAATCAAAAGCCCTTCTGTTTTTTTTGATAGCCTCTAACTATTACTTGATATCAAGAGGCTGTACACTAGTTTAATCTTAACAATGCACATAAAGAGTGACAAAAATGCTTTCTAGCTATTCGTGTCCATTCTCATATATGGTCTTAATTTTGTTTGGGTGCTGTTTTCTTCAGGGAATCCATATATTAATGCATGTATTTTGACAAGATTGGAACTACAGTTAGAAAGTATGCCTTCTGCCTGAAATACAGCACCTTCCACATATTCAAGCAATGCAGAGGGCTGTCACTGGCTTTGATAAGCTCCATGCTTGGACATTTATGTTCAAACAGTGAACAAACAAAACAAACCAAAATTCCCACACAGTAGCACCTTAAGAGAAAAAAAAACAATGTGTAGAAACACTCACATTGCTAAAGAGATGTTTCAAATTTTGAACTCTTTCCGAATCCACTGTTTCTGTCACAGTTGTATACTTGTCCTTAGTTTTGTGGTAATCTTGCTTGTATTTCACCTGTGAGATGAAAGACAGATTTAGTTGACTTGTTTCAGTTCTCAGAAGGAGCACAGGGAAAAGCCTGAGTAGAAGAAGGGGGAAGACTCACATCACTAGCATTTAAACCACTCTGCACCGCAGTCACATACAGAGGTGTGTCAGTAACAACACCAAAGTTCTGCAAATTCTCTTTTCCTGCAGCTGTATATTTTATCTAAGGAAACAAAACAAAACAAAACATTAATGCTGAAAATGATGAGGAAATTTCCTGCCAGTTTTCTTTAAAACCAGTTCTGGACAACTGAAGCCCAGGGTTACGGCCCAGTTAAGACCAACTTCAAAAGTGACATGTCAAATAAAAAAAATACTTAATATATAGCCAGTAATAACTAAGGAATAATGAAAATTGCACATCACTGTATAGCATTCAGTAGGCTAAGTGTACAATCAGCAAGGCAAGAGACACAATTTTCCCAACATAAATGTCTCACTGAACTATCTTGTGCACAGGGTCGCATACAGAAAGATAAAGTGTCATCTTCTCACTGCTAAAAAACACAAACTTCTTGTCCTTCCATTCTCCTAAGATTTCTGCTCACTCCATGACAAAAATGATCGCGTCTCTACAGACAAAACTGCAAGAGTATATTATAATAGTTTGAACAAAATACTTCTGATGTAGTAGGAATTACTTCATTCTGCTCTGGGCTAGGACAGGTGTCAGTTCCAATGAATCATAAATGGAAGAAAAAAATCTTCTAAGTATTCACTTATTTGTGGAAAACATGCTTACTTGGCTCTGGAGATCATAAGATTTTTTAGCATGCAGGATTTGTGGAGTATCCCAGACATAACATCCAAGTCCCTTCAGCCAATTTAAGTCATCTTTGTACACCACCTATATGGAAGAAAACAGACTAGTAAGTTAGAAAGAAATGTGCCTTCTGCTTGAAGAAAGTAGTATTTTTTTATATTCAGTATATTCCACCTGCGTAAACTCCACGCAGAAGGTTAACACTGAATCTGAACCAGGCTCAGTCAGTAATTCCAACCTAACTGGAAGTTTAAAAGTGAGCACAGAGAAGACCAGCCTATCTCATGCTTTAACTGAATGATATTTACCCACAGGATTTGCAAGGGAAATTAAATGAAATAATGCAGTACAGTAATAGATATTTGAAAGTATTTTGTATTTAAATACCTCAGAAAAAAAAAAAAATCACACAAAAGGCTACTAAAATGTCAAACAAATAAATGAAACACATACATCGCTCAAAATTTCCTGGGCTTTTCTGGCTTGAATAACATCATTTTCTTCAGGTGAACAATTCCACTGATGGAAGTAAGTTCGGTATTCCAGATCGCTGAGGATATACTGGCACTTCTTGGCTAGCACGTGATTCATCATGTCACTTGGAATATGGACGTTTGCTTTGGTGTCCTCATAATTCTTTCTGTACGCCAACTAAAAAGGAAAGATTGGGGAAGAGGTGAGAAGAAAGAACAGTGGTTTTCTGCATAATTTTGACTCTAATAGGCTACAGGTTATAGCACAATCTGAGGCATGCTTTCTGAATTTAGTGGCTAAAATCCCATGGGATTCAATAAAATGAAATCTTATCTTTGATATTAATCACTGTTTATTCTGATGAGGTTCTAAAAGCACAAGAATGACCTTCTTCACTTGCCAATTTAACAGCTGGTGAGAAAATCAACAAGACTTGAAGATAAAAGTCGTCATATGCTACAAGCATGTTTTTAATCTAGTTAAATCTGCCTGTCCAGATGAAGACAGAATATTTGGGATTATACTAACTTTATGCTCTGCATGACATGCTATATGTGCAGTGGTGATAATAACTAAACACCAAATGTGTGTTTACTTTTCCAGTTCTTAAATTCCTATTTCAATTAAAAATTAACACTCTTTTTTTTGTTAAGCAAAAGTATCCTAAGTCATGTAGTATTTCCTACTGCTCAGATTCTTAAACTGAAATAGAAAAAGATTTTTTCGCTACTCCAATATGTATATTAACTAAACAAATCCCTTCTTAATCTCCTAAATAATTTCAATTATTCAACTCACACACAAAATAACCATTCAGGAAACATAAACGTGTTGAAAACACTTTTACTGAGGTTATTAAGCATTGCATTATTCATGTTAAAATATGTCACACTAAACTAAAGAAAATGGAAAATACTACAGCCAGAATAACCCTCTCCTTACCGCACTCCTCATTTTCTGGAACGCGAGCGAATGAATGACACCGGGGAAATCACCAATGTCCTTCCCAGCCAGGTAATGGCCTTTCAGCTTCTCATATATTTCCTTGTATTTAAGCTGCAAAATATTCATTTGCAAATTTTAAAGTTCATTCTAACAACAGATAAGGAAAATAAAAAAGAGAAAGAATGGAAAATTCATACTAACCTCACTGTTTATGTAGTTCGCACGCTTCGCTCCAACAAGCGGAATGTATTTCTCATCCAACGTATACCCAATGGGCTTGCTAATTTCCCAAGCATTTTTATAAAGTTTCTAGACAAACAAAACACATACAGGTGCTGAGAAAAATTCCACCACACTTCCTAAGAAACCAGACTCTACCATTTACACGCTCGTGGATGATGACTACTTGATTTATAGAGTAGTTCCTTATTCCATTAATTGTCCCAATAAAGTAAATGAAGAATTCACTTATTCAGTGTGAGTAAGGCAAACCTGAGCACAAATTAGAGCTGATATCTGCTTTCTCTACTATATTTGGAATTCAACATTCCTCACCCAGAAGATTAATAAAAATATCCAAACTGTAGACATGAACTCTTGTTTAAAAGTTCAGTATAGAATTGGCATTGATAATTTTATAGATATACGTTCAAAATTGTGAAAAATCTCCAAGTAATACTATTGTTTATTATAAGAGCTTAACTGTGCCAGTGGCACTTTTCTAATACATCATATTTTTTTAAATATTAAACATATTTACCTTCAGACTAAATTATGAAGCACCTACTCAAATGAATGGTCACGTTTTCAAAAAACAGAGGTTTCCCATTAAGATTAGTGAGGCTACTCAAAAGTAACTGTTTAATAATGTAAATCATCTAAAATTTTCCTCTCTTATAAAAAAAATAAATGAAAATTTCATCAGTGGCTTAGGAAGGTATTATTGGATAGAATTACAAACTGGTTTTGTCACATGAACTCTGCTGCTACTACTGCTATTACTACTTCCAAACATCACACAGCAGTGCTTTAAGATCAGTTCAAAAAGGAAAGAAATTATCCTTATCTCAATGATCCAAAATGGGAAATACTGAAGAAAAAAGATTAAATAACTTTCCCAGAGTCACCCAGTAGACTAATGACAGAAACAGAAATAGAATAGTTTTCTGAAGTCCACTCTGCATTCTGTTGCTTCCAAAACAAACAAATTAAAGCTCAGTTAGATATTTATGGAATCTTACATCGCTGTACAGTAAGGACATGTCTTTGGCATGGTTCAGTGCAGGAGTATCATCAGACCCAATATACTGGCCTTTCTCAAGGTTAAATGTTTCTTTGTACTTCAACTACAAAAGAAGACAAACACAATGTTAATTCCACAGGAGAAATAAATTATCCCAACTAGTCCATCTGTTAGAAGTAGACATGAATTTTCTGTTATCATATCTTCAGTAACGTTGTGTAGATACTCCAACCACTACACTACATTGGAAACGTCATCAGCATGTCACACCACAAAATCCACATGGCATTCTACTGAAATTGAACATACTGATGGGCAAATACCAGTTAGCAGCAACACCAGGGACTCCACTAGCACTACACAACTAACTGCTGTTCACCAAGAACAGGATTCAATTTTGAACTACTATAAGCAAAATCTGTGTAAACTTGAAATAAGGGACAAACTGTATCCTTGTACAGAAAAATGCAAAAGTATTTTGGATAGCAGTATCGTGTTGCTCATTTACGTAACTTCTTATTAAATTTATTTACCCCAGAAAAAGTCTATTATTAATGAAGCATGCATATGCACACACACACACATACATAAGGCCAAACCCAGTATAGTTTAGCAAAAGCAATTAAGTCATCTACTAATTCTAGTAATATAACAGTTTCTATTAAAAAAAAAGGTACATACATCACTCTGATTGACAGAGTTAATCTTTGCCAAAACAATGTCAGGAGTGTCAACCACACTGGTATAATTGGAAAAGTTATCAAGGGCTTCTTTTGTATAGGCTCTCTGCAAAGAAAGAAAATGTTTTCTTAAACACTGTGCATGAGAAAGAAGAGCTAGTCACATAACTGTTAAAATATTTTCTCTTACCTTATTTATCAGTTCTTGTGCATTCTTAACTTTCTTGTGTTCCACTGAATCCAGAGGAATCCAGCCACAGCCACGAAGCCATTCCAAATCAGATTTATAAATATTCTAAATTACGAAAGATGATAAAAAAGGAAAGAAGCTATTGAATTCAGGACAACATTTTTCAGTCTTACGTAATGTAGACCATGTACCTAGACCACACTAAGTGGAAATGACACAGCCTGTATGGAATATCACTTACATCACTCTGCAGATCATAGGCCTTCCTTGCTTGAATGCAGTCGTTCTGGTCAGGGTGGCACGTCCATTCGTGCAGGTGTTGGCGGTAGTCAACTTCGCTGACCAAGGTCTGACATTCCTTTGCTGCTACAACCGACACCATGTCCGGAGGGATGTGAATTTTGGACTTTGTTTTGTGATAGTCTGATTTGTACAGTCTGTCATTCTGGATCTCGCCTGCGTGCTCAAACCACACCAGTTTTGGATCGTCTCTCATACTGGCAACTCCAACGTAGTGACCTCTTTGCTTGACGTACTCAGCTTTGTATTTAAGCTGATGGAAGAAGGGAGAAATACGTATAAAGTCAACACTGATTATATCTGCTCTTATTTTAATCTGTGAACAGCTACCGTTTTGTCAACACAAAGAACAGACGAGACAGGGAGTTGTCAATGGCAGTCTCTGGTTTTCAGTACATGACCAGATGAAAACATGATACAAACAGTAATGTTACTTTATGTAGTCCTTCCACTTCAAAAAATATATATTTTTATAGATTAATATGCTACCATTTTTCAGTAAACAGTATTTTCAACACCAAAGGAAAGCCTTGTTAGAAAATGTTTGCTATAAGTGCATTTGGCCTCAGTTTTGTAACAAATTTTTGTTATTTAAGGTATTTACATCACACTGTTTTGATGAAGCATATGTTCAAACTAAGAGTCATGTAACAACTTCAGCATCCGTTATGAAAAAGTTTAAAATGCAGTGTGCATACCATCTTACAGTTCTTCAAGGAGGAAGCCTCCATGAAGGCATAATATGCCAAAAAGTGAAATCAGAGCTATATATTATAATCATATAATATCACTTCAATTATCTAACAGTTATAAAATATGGAAGTCCACCTCAGCTGATTCTGAAAAGACAGTTTCTGAAGAAAGTGGAAGGTGGAAAGAAGAATCTGACCTTTCAGCACTGATTTCTGTAAAGCCCATAGTAACAAACATGGCTGAGCTGTTTGGAGGACAGTAGACTTCATGGGTCATAAAAGGTCTACTGGGTGTTTCCCTAACAGAAAGCTTTTTATGTCAGTTGTTGAATTTGCAAGGCCTTTAACATTTCCAGGCTTCCAAGCACTTGCTCCCCTAATGAGAAAAATTATTACCTCACTTTGGACATCATTTGAGTGTTTGGCGTGACAGATCTGCACAGTGTCAGGAGGTAAGAGGTAACCAGTGGCTTTTTCTTTCTCCCAACTTTCCTTGTATAAATTCTGTGGAAAATAAAAGTGAGGAGGAATTCAACACTACTATAGTGATAATTGCTACCATATATATGTAACCTATATCAAAGCATAAGGATAATGAACCCTTCCTTTAGGATGTTCTTAATAAGGCAAGTTTTTCTAAATTCCTCAAAAGAGTTATGAATGTGAGTAGAAACTGTCAAGGAGACATCACGTACCTGATTGAGAATTCTGGCTGCCTCTCGGGCCATATCTAGCTGGGGTGTATCTGTTAAAGTATAATTTGACTTGATCTCATTCCATGCTTTGTGGTATTTATTCTAGAACAGAGAAAGAAATTACTGCCTTGCAGCACCATCAGAAAACTGAGAAAACGTAACACCAAACCCCATATTTTATGAATGAAATCATGTATAAAACCCTGAATTTGCAAGGCTATTAGACATGACACATTAAATATACATCCAAATGGGGAAATTTTTAAACAGGAAATTTTACAAGACAAGAAATTACAAAATTTCTCGGAGCAAAAATGGTCCCAAGGCAGCTGGATGGACAGGGAAGAATCTTCAGAAGTCACAGTTATGCTCTTGTTTGCTCTACAGGGACGTACAGCCAACAGCCAAGCAGGAAGTGTCTGAACCAGGCCAACAGGTTTTAGGCTTTTCAAGAGCACATCTCTCTACTCAGCACGACCTCTATGTGAACGCAGCCTTCTAGTGACTCCCAACCACAGATACCTACACTGAGTCGTGTTCCCAAGCACAGGACATGCCCAAACATGGGAATGTGTTTGCATGGCAGTATGCCATTCAGTTCAACCGTATCATTGTTGTTGCCATCCTTTTACCAGTGTGTGAGTTAACATAAGGGTTTAGCTCGGCTTGTTCTCTAACAGAGGCACACATCAAAAAAGAAACACAAACTCAAGAGGTGAGAGGAGGTCTTGTCATTTCATGTTCACAGACCAGCTTTTGACAGCCTAGCCTTCAAAAAACACGGAAAGAATGGCAAGCTGACAGCACACCAGTTTTGTTCCTGTCTATCGTTACGCAGTAGTTAACTAAAAAATGTAAATTCATACTGGCACAAGGGAGAAAGAATAAACATCGTGGTTGCCAGACTGCAAGTGGCTATTTATGCTTCTGTTGTCAAGGATCACCAAGGATATCAGCCAAGACTGAAAGAAGGGACCAGCTGCAGAACCAGCACTGGCTTCTCATGTGTCTAGGAAAGATGTTCTTCTGCTTGAGGAGCTTCTTCCCTCATAAGCCATGGAGATGAGCTGCTGAAGTCCTGTTCATCTTTATGTCACACATTCACAGAATTCCCAGGGACTGAGGAAGAATTCTTTTGCGTTTTTGTTAAAAGATAAAATAAATATCCTTTTAAAGATAAAATCCCACCAGGTAAATACACAGACCGAGTTAACAGCCCAGAAACATGCTAGCAAACTTACATCACTAAGAATTTCACCACTGTTCTTCGCTGTGATGTAATCAACTCTGTCCGCCACTGGAGTAAATGGAAGAGTTTCGGCTTTTGTACGGTACTTTCTCTGCACAAGAGAAAAGATGAACAGTCAGATTATATTGGAATATTTTCTAGCTAACACAGCAGTTCTGAATACATATACAAGACCAGAAAGTTTATGTGGAAAGAAAAACTCTCCATACACAATGAATGCTTTGGAAATACTCCAGCTGTATTTTCTATTAAAAAAAAAAAAATATTGATGTATTTAACCATTAAAAATACTTTAAATCACAAATACCCTTAAGAAAATTCTAGTACTGAAAACCATTTTGTTACCTCATTCAAGAGATCTCCAGCATATTTGACATGCTTGATTCCAACTGAATCATTCGGCAACCATCCAATACCCCGTAGCCATTCTAAATCAGATTTGTAGATAGCCTGGGAAAATAAAATAGGGTCCATTGTTCCCTGTACAATCCAGCAAGATTCATATATAACGCCACTTGGTTCCACTGGTTAAAAGGAGAGCAGTAATTCCAATACCAGCACTATATCTCAATTTATCACACATCAAACTTGGCAATATGTAAGTGCATTCCCAATAAACGGCAAAGCCAATTCACTGAATCCAGCAAAAGATTCCCACTACTTAGAGCTGAAGCAGACTATAAAGAGACAATAGAGGGTTATGAAGTATTGGAACAGGCTGCCCAGGGAGGTGGTGGAGTCTCCATCCCTGGAGGTGTTTAAAAACCGTGTGGATTTGGTGTTGAGGAACATGGTTTAGGGACCCTGACAGTGCAGGGTGAATGGTTGGACTCAATGATCTTGAAGGTCTCTTCCAACCAGATGATGATTCTATGAGTCTATGATAATAGAGTAATAAGTTAAGCTGAGTTTTCATGTTAAACTTACATCACTCTGTAGATCGTAGGCTTTCCTAGCCTGTATGACATCATTCTGATCTGGAAGACAGATCCACTGATGCAAGTAGTGACGGTAGTCAACATCACTGACCAAAGACTGACCATGCTTAGCTGATAGGATAGATAGCATGTCCACTGGGAGGTGGCATTGTGTCTTCCATTTGGCAAAGTGTTTCTTGTATTCTAGTTCACTCTGAACTTTGCCTATGCCGAGGGCAAACTTCATTTTTGTATCTGCTTTTGCATTTGGAACTCCAACGTAATGTCCTTTCTGCTTCTCATGGTCCAGTTTGTATTTATACTGGGTAAAGAGCAAAGATCACCATTACCAACAGTTATCATGAAATAGCTCTTAAAGCATGTGAAGAGCTAGGTGTCTCTTTTGGCACTTACATCACTAGCAATTTCTCTAGAAGCTTTGGCTGCCTTGATGGGGATTGCATCTGCTCTCAAATCATAACTCATCTTCAACTCATCCCAAGCTTCTTTATACAGTTTCTGAAAAGACAGCAAAACGTCACACATATGCTAAATACTCTGGCATTTGCCGTTAAAGAAACATATAGTTTGCTGCCATTTGTTTACTGAAATGCCATGAGAATTTTTTGTGTGTTACTCCTCCTCCTAGCCAGAAATACTGCTGCAAATCTTACTGCCTTTCAAACGCGTGCAGTACCTGCAACACCAGGTTTGCAACCTGTACTGCACAGAAGGGTGTTTGTAGAAGGTTAGAAAATACTTACATACCTTGGGCTCTCGTCCATTGCAACAAAACTTTGTCTCAATGGTGCATGATCTCAATAACTTTTAAACAGCTGTCTGCAAGCATTGATTTTAAAATGTCTAAATACTTTAAGAATACTCAGCAGAGGGTAGGGAATGGTGCAAGCCCTGTATGAGGACACACTTCAGCAAGATTCGCGTGACTTAATCTTCAACTTTGTCAGTAACATCTTAGAATGTTGCAAGTCACAGGATACACATACTATTTTATAGAAATGTAGAAAATAGAACAATAAGCATACCTGGCTATAATTGGCAGCATTAGCCTTGGCAAGGTTGATTTCAGGTGTGTCTGGCATAACATGGATCATAGTCTTGTCCTTTTCCCAGGCTTCTTTGTATTTTGGCTGTTAAAATAGTTCGTTTTATGACATTGTAATTATGAAATTTCACTTGTCGATAACGTAAAATCCCATAGATATCTCCTGAATTACCATCTCTAAAAATTAAAACGTCTGGAAAAGCATTAAACTTGACTTAAAATACCACTGATTACTTTTATATTTTAGCAGGGGGAATTGTCTTTAACTGTTTATAGTCTTGAAACAAATTTAAGAACATTGTAACGTACAATGCTGACTTGTTCGGCGTTCACTTTTGCCAGGAGAACATCTGGAGAATCAACAATACTGGTGTACTTCAGGCTTTCAATAGGTGTACGATACACATTATCACTCAGGAGATCCTGGGCATGCTTCACTCTCTTAACATCCGGAGAGTCATTAGGCAACCACCCAATTCCACGGAGCCATTCCAGGTCTGCCTTATAGACAGCCTACATCAGACACGGTCAGAAAAGGAAAACATGGTGTTTAAAATGATTGTCTTGATTATTTTAAACTATACAAAGTGGGATGGGTTTTAGAAACTGTCAAATCAGCTACAGTTAGATTTATCCTTTTTATACACAAGCCAAGTTCAATGTCATAAGGAAAATGCAATCTGGGAACCAGGTTTTAAGTAGTTTGTTTCTTAAACAAACTACTTTCTAAACATTATGCAGTTAAATAGAGGGGAAACGACCGAACAGAACTGCCATTAATGATGATGTGTATTAAGATTTTACAAGAGTCTTCCTCTCCCCTCTGGAATATTTATCCCTCTACTCACTCCAACAATTTACAAGTGAAAAAAAAAAAAAATCAAGCTGCCCACCAGGAAACTTGACAAAAAAAGGAGGGAGAAAAAAATGTTATAGAGGTAATGGGGAGTAGAGCTACCTGGCATAACTCCTGAAGTGGTTTCAGACAACATTGTTTAAGTTTTAATCAGGCAAATCCTTCAGCAAGGAACATGAATCTCACCTCTGAAGCTCATTAATGAAACAGAGGAAGACTGACTGATGTTGACTGATAAGTAGCAAAACCAAGTCAGGAAATCAGATACACTTACTCCTCCTTCTTTGAAATCAGCCACTAAAACAACGTACATGCTATATTGCATAGTTTTCTTGCAATTAAATAAATTTCCAAGCTGACTCAGGTAAAGAGGAGTAATAAAAGCCACCTAATTCCAAAGTAGCAAACAGATGTTATTTCATAAGTCCCAACAAAGTAAGACAGACAAATCCTTAATCTCTCCAAAACGCAATACGCCAAAAGCATATCTAACATAGCAAAAACCAACTAAAGTTTTTCTAAAATTTAGAGGTAAAACCAATACTTATTACAAAATAAAAAGAGTAGATAATAGCAGTAACATGAAAAACTAAAGAAAATAGTCTCAAGATAAACCCTTTATGACAGTATAATATCAAACCATCATAATGAGGCCATAATATGTGAGACAGCAACAGTAGTCAGTACCACATCTCTACACATACGCACATCACTCTGCAGGTCATAGGCCTTCCTTGCGTGGATCACGTCGTTCTGGTCAGGCAGGCAGGTCCACTGGTGAATGTACTGGCGGTAGTCAACGTCACTGACTAGTGTCTGGCACTCCTTGGCTGCCTGCACGGACATCGCGTCCACTGGGATGTGGATCTGGGCCTTGGAATCATGGTACGCCTTCCTGTAAAGCCGGTCGTTCTGCAGCGCCATGGCACGTGCCGCCCACGACAGTTTGGGATCCTCCTGGGCAGTCCGGCACCCAATGTAGTGGCCCTTCTGCTTTTCGTGCGTTTCTTTGTACTTGTACTGGAAATGCAGAAAGAAGGTCAGCAGCCACACATGGCTCACCTGAACACAACTAACAAACAAAGTGCTTCCAGCTTCCCAGGTTGTCAAACTTTGAACTGAACTTCTCTCAGTTCTCCTGAGCTGGACACGGGGAGCGACAGACAGGGCAACCACATGAAGAGCAGACTGACTATCAATGTCTCTGGAAGCCTTGGCGTGTTTGATGGGAATGGCATCAGCTCTTAGGTCATAGCTTTTCGCCTTGGCCTCATCCCAAGCCTTCTGGTAATGTTTCTGCAAAGAAAATTAATAACCCTGATTACATGCAGTCAAGACTTTCTGATATCAATGCCTTCTCTTAAAACTTACTCTGGAAGACCAATTGTCATGCTCTTAATTTCATAAAGCTTCACATGCATAACAATTTTATTCTCTTACATTGCTGATGTTGAGAGCATTGACTTTGGACTGCACCATTACAGGAGTATCGGAAGGTATGGAAATCTGCGTCTTATCTCTGTCCCAGGCTTCACGATACAGGTGCTAAGGAGACAGGAAGCAGAAGGACATTTCACTATAGTCTGAACACTGGAAAAAAAACACCAACAGGGATTCTCTGGTAATTCTGATCTGAATCAGTTTCCAATTAGGCATTCCCAAGGTAGAAATTCTAATCTCTACCACAAAGAAAAGAAAAGAAATGTCCTCACATAAGTAAAAGGTGAGTAAAAGGCAAACTTACGTCACTGATCTGCAAAGCATTGATCTTGGCCTGGACGACGTCTGGCGAGTCAGTGATGCTGGTGAATTTCATCTCCTCCGGCCGCGTGCGGGA